CGGAGCGGCTGGTAGTTTCGAACCGCTGACCTTAAGGTTCGCAGCCCGATTCGTAACCACTACGCTACCAGAGCTCCTTATAGAGAGAGAAAAAAACTAAGCAAAGTTTAAGATCAGATGAGTATTAACTCCAGGGAAAACAAGGTTCTAGTAGAAAGGAAATGACAGTTCACCATGTGGTATACCAGTGATCAATATTTCCATCTATTAGTTTAAAACTACGTTACGATAGATCTGTATTGGGAAAACTAGGGGGAGAAAAACTGGGGAAGATGGGCTATAAAATAAGTAAACTCTATCTACCATTAATGTAATTCAAGAAATCATTTCTGAAATGGCTAAATCAAAAAAGGCAGCATAATGAATTTAAATTAGGAAGGTAAAGACAAGAAAAAAACTACTAGAAGAGTTAGAAATACAACTGGGAGGTGGAAGGGAGATTCTTTTTCAGCGTTAAGTCCTTTCTATTTGACTTTTTAACTATGTGCATGAATCATTTTAATAAAGTTAAATTAAAAGAATTTAAACTTACAAATTCAGTGTGAATTCACAGAGAAACGTACCAGAGAACAGGAAAAACAGGAAACAGCTCTATTCTACCAGCTATCATTTATTTACCCACCAAAAACGAAACCCACAGCCAGACTCATGATGACACCTTCTAGGACAAAGGTGAACTGCCATCATTATGGGAACAGACTGCCACACCTTTCTCCTATGAAATGGCTAATGGGTTCAAACCATCAACCTTTCAGTCAAGCGCTCAGCTACAGCATCACCAGGGGTCCTTACTTACCCAACAAGCCAAAACCCACAGCCGTTGAGTCTATTCAATTCCCGCTCATAGTGACCCTATAGGACAGAGTAGAACTGCTCCAAAAGGTTTCTGCGTCTGTAATCTTTACAGGAGCAGACTGTCTTACCTTTTTCTCCTGTAGAGCAGATATTGAGTTTGAACTGCTGCCCTTGTGGTTAGTAGCAAAATGTTGAACCCACTGCACCACCAGGCGTCCTACTTACCCACCAGAGCTCTTAAAAGAGAGACCTCCTCCGGGGCAACTGTGGCATAATCTGGCTTTCCTTCAGACCAAGACAATCACTTTGCAACAAGTGGTAATAGCAAAGTCTTAAGGGCAGACTCAGCGACCTCATTAAATAGAAGCAGTAAAAAATCAGCACAGCTCAAATTAGATATGATTATGTATTTGGAAACTGAATAAAGAGCAATCGAATGCTAACATATTACAAAGATACACATCTGGAGATGCTGGGATGATTTTTAAACACTACATTTGATTATGCATAGTGAAAAGCCGCAATGCAAGGTCAAAGGTTTCATGTATCTTCATGAGAAGATACTTTCTCATTTGCCTTATAATTTAAATTTAAGCACAAGCATCATTCACTTCTGAACTTGTCCTGATTAAAGACAATGCAATAATCCAATATGCTGTTGTTAGTGCCTTCAAGTCAGTTCCAACTCATAGCAACCGTGTATAGGGTTTCCGAGGAGCAGATGGTGAGTTCAAATCGCTGACCTTGCAATTCAAATCAACCGTATAGTCAAGTTCTTATCCTATGGTGCCACACCAGGGCTCCTTTCTAATATAAAAAAATTGTAATTTAGACTGTTTAAAAAAATTCTTATCAAGATTCATCACAGAGGCCTGTGATTCCCTTGAAATGAAAAGGGAGCTCTGGCTTTGTGTATAAAACCATCAATATATCAACAGACTCTCCAAATTGCTCAATAACTTCATGGCTAGACAAAGCAAAAAATGGTAGAAAAACCTGACAAATTTCAGAGAATTGTTCTTCTTTGGTTCATCTTTTTTAAAATTCAGAAAAGTCAGGAGCACTTAAAAATACACATGACTCCTCAAAATAAAACACTCCCGTAAGCTTGACAGATTGTTTCATGCTGACTATTCACTGATCAAAACCTAAATACAATATATACTTCCTCAAAAAAAAAGGTTTACACAGGTGTTTGGTTCCTCAGGAAAAATGAGTGGTCTCTAGTCACAATAAAGGAGTCCTGGTGTGGCGCTGTGGGTTAATGTGGCAGACTGCAAAGTCATTTGAACTGCAAGGTCAGCGGTTCAAACTCACCAGCTGCTCCTTGGAAACCCTATACGGGTCGCTATGGGTCGGAGTCGACTCGACGGCACTCAGCAACAACAGCCACAATAAACGGCCACAATAAAAAAAGAATGATTCTTTCTTGAAAGTACATACTTCAAGAGGATAAAAATTACATATACCAGAAGTGATTGTATTAAAAATAAAGAAAACTGTTGATGAACTCGTCTATTTGTGTAGAACAATAGAAAACAAGTTCATTCTATTCGTTCAAAAGCTTGTTGATGTGTTTTCATTATAAACCTATCACTTCCAAAAACTACCTATCAGCAAGCAGCATTTCAACCTTCATGGTTCTAAAAAAAGGAAAACCTAATCACTAACTCAATGAGTAGAAAGAGTCCACTATTTAATATAGTGTAGTCTAATGAGTGTGTGCTACTTACAAACGTTCCAAGTAGCATACAATTTATCTAACTGCATCTTTATATAAACTGTTTATAGATTGTTCATGCCCATTTTAAACATAAGGATAAAAGTCTGTAACTATGGATTTTAGTAAACAGAATACCAAATTTAACTCTAGAAAGAAAAGAATCCCATATAAACTTACAAGGGAGATTTAAAGTTAAATAGGTCATACCATTATTCTAAACTCACAGACAACAAATCTAAAATCATTTGTGTATTCCCCATGAAGCCCATATACAAACAAAATCAAAGCAATAAACTAAATCAGCACTGATAGAGATTAGACAGAACATCAATAGATGTAAAAAATACAATGTATTATGTGATGATTTTGAATGCAAAAACCATGTATTTATTCAATGTCTGATGAACTTAAAAACACCAAACCAGTTTTAAAGTGTTCCTTATCTAAGTTGTTGAATAAAACCATCACTCCAAAGACAATGAAAAAACTATTTACAAAGCAAACACTGACAACAGGTATGGACAAGCACAAACCAAAAAATGCCATTTGTTCTTTAATTAAATAATGCCATTCTAAAGTGGTGTATGTAGTACAGTCATCTTAACAGAATTCTTTTTCCATATAAATATTTATAAATAAAAAATATCTCTAAATATTCTAAAGAGCTGTAATATAATACCTTACAAAAGCAGCTTACTGTCTATTTTAGGAAAAAAGCACTAAAATCCTCTTCCATTGCAAGTCATTTATTTCTCTGGTGTATGTGAGCAAGGTCACTACAACAATAAGCTTCTTTTCTAGAACAATGCAAAAAACAATGTTACACATCTTAAATTTGGTAGGTCACAAAAGTTAGAATTCATTTTTTTGATGCAACAGAATAATAAATAAATAAACATTAAATACTTTAATTCAACATTTGGTATTGACAAATCAGTAGCATCAACTTCACATATGCAGGACAACATAGTCTGCTTTTAAAAAATCATCAATGTGTTCATAGAATTTGGGCTAAAAATATTCAAAATGTCAAGTGTTTCCTTTTTGCTTAAAGGAATACAATACACTCACCATCAAGCTGCTATATAGTAATTCATTTTTAGCTGGGATAATGTGACCATTTGGTCCATGGCACAAGTTACATAAACCATACTTCTCTCAAACCGAAACCTTATCTCTATAAGATTCCATGTTTATAAGCTACAATACACACTGACTAAACTATCAGTCAGTCCCTCACAGTTTTTTTTTAGAAAAATATCTACATTTGTCCTTATGGATGTCAAAATGTTACACCACCATTTGTTTTTTAAAAAAAAAAAAAAAAAAGATAAAAAGATGCACAATCATACCGTGAAGTTATTAGGAAAATACTCTTGCAAATTATATAAAGATAAAATACACTTCAAAAGTATGTGGGTTGTTTTTGTTTGTTTTTTTACAATATTCTATAAAGTGCAGAGAAATCCTAAGTAAAGGGAAAAACTACTCCCTATAACAATAGTTTAATTACAGCAGCTTTTGCATAGCAATACTTAGAGGAAGTTGGACACCTCAGTTTCCTCAGGAAGAAAATGATGGAAGAGGATCTTCTGAGTCAGATTTTTTTTTGGCCAAAAACCTATGTTCTTCAGGAATGGTTGCTGATGCCAAATCTCCATTAAGTGTATTTCTTGAACAGTGAACAGGTCCTATGAAGAAATTAAAGGAAATGTTAAACATTATCAATTGAGTCCTCTACAAAAGAACATTTTAAAATTCCTATTTGCAGAGAGGAAATTTCTTGCTAATTATTTTGTTTTTATTACAAGAAACCTTCAATATGCAGATGATACAGCCTTGCTTGCTAAAAGCACAGAAGACTTAAATACTTACTGATGAAGATCAAAGACAAGACTTCAGTATAAACGGCACCTCAATGTAAAGGAAACAAAAATCCTCACAATAAATAACATCATGATAAATGGAGACAAGATTGAAGTTATCAAAAACTTCATTTTGCTTAACTCCACAATCAACAGCTACGAAAGCAGCAGTCAAAAAAATCAAATGACATACTGCATTAAGCAAATCTGCTGCACAAGACCTCTTTATACAATTCAAGAGCAAAGATGTCAGTTTGAGGATTAAGGTCTGCCTGACCTAAGCCATAGTATTTTCAATAGCCTCATATGCACGTGAAAGTTAGACAATGAATAAGAAGATCAAAGAAGAACTGCTGTATTTGAATTATGATGTTGGAGAAGAATAGTAAAAGTACCATGGACTTCCAGAAAAACAAGCAAGCTGTCTTGGAAGAAGTACAGACAGAATGCTTCATAGAAGTAAGGCTGGTGAGACTTCAATTCACATACTTCAGACATGTTATCAGGAAGGACCAGTCCCTGGCGAAGGATATCATGCTTGGTAAAGTGGAGGGTCCATGTAAAAGACGAAGACCCCCAATTAGATGGATTGGCACAGAGGCAATGGACTCAAGCATAACAACTGTGAGGATGGCACAGGACTGGGCAGTGTTTTACTGTTGTGCAGAGAGTCGTTATGAATCAGAACCAACTCAACAGCACCTAACAACCACCACCACAACATTACAGAGAAAAATCTAAACTCTCAGTGATAAAGATACACTCCAGAATTCATGAGACAAATTATGAAACAACATAGAGATTTTTATTTGATTCAGTGCTAGAACCATGGCTAGCACATAATGGGCAATAAATATGTATCTGTGTTGTTAAGTGCCATTGAGTCAGTTCCAACTCATAGCAACCCTGTATACGGTTTCCAAGGAGTAGCTAGTGACACTGTGATTTGGGCTGTAGATGTGCTTAGCAGTTCAGTTCTTATCGTACAGCGCTAGACCAGGACTCCAATATATATTTGTTGAACTGAATTCAATTATCTCTTAATTTATCATTGCTTTTTCAGTCAGATCATTTTAATGCTGATAGTGGTGGTGGTTATGGTTATGTGCTATGGTGTCGGTTCCGACTCACAGCAACCCAGGATAGGGTTGCTGAAGCTATAAATCTTAACAGGAGCAGAAAACCTCTTCTTTCTCCAGCAGAACAGTTGGTAGTTTTGAACTGCTGACCTTGAGGTTAGCAGCCCAACTTGTAACCCCTACGCTACCAGAGCTCCTTAATGCTATTAGTATCCTCCTCGTTTTCTGGGCAATGAAAGACCCAAAAAAGGTCACATACAATTGTTAACAGAAGTAGGAGTAATGCAGGCTTTGCTTACTTGTTGTGAGGTTGAGCAAAGCTGACAAGGTATCTGGCAGGGAAAGTGCTCATACTCCCATGAGAATGCAACTCAGAACTATGAGTGCATATCCAAGTAGGCACAATGAACTGAAGCAGAGCCCAGTGCCAAAGCAGTTGTACTTTTACACACATATATTATCTGAATTCACAATGGTCATGTATTACTTGTGTAATTCTATTTTAAATGTATTTCATTTTAAAAAGTAGTTGCATCTCCCAAAGAAAATATTTTTGAATAAAGACTTTCAATTAAAACTATCAATTGTAATGCACATACTTCCTAAGGAAAAGCCCTGCCATGGCTGCTGCTATATGTAGTTGAGTCAGTTCCAACTCACAGCAACCTTGTACAGAGTTTCTGAGGCTATAAATCTTTATAGAAGTAGAAAGCTTCATCTTTCTCCAGAGGAGTGGCTGGTGTATTCCAACTGCTGACCTTGTGGTTAGCAGCCCAACGCATAACCCACTACTCTATCAGGGTTCTGTCAACTAACACTAACAAGAGACATTAAATTTTAGCATAATCAGAATCTGACGCTAAACTTCTGATCCAGCCTACACTTGTCAAGTTAAAGATTTGTTTTGTTGCGGTACATAACAGCTGGAAAAGGACCTCATGCTTGGTAGAGGGTAACTAGGAGTTGGAGCCAACTTTACAGAACCAGAAACAACCTAACAGCTAGACTGGCTCATGTCCAGTGAATTAGGCCCTGGCAGCACTGTGGGTTAGGGGTTGGAATGCTAACCAAAAGGTTGGTAGTTCAAACTCAAGGAGAAAGATTAGACTATCTGATCTCATTTACAGTCTTGGAAACTATACAGAGTCACTGTGAGTAGACTTCAATTCTATGGCAGTGAGTAAATGAAAAAGAATATGCATACTTAGCTCTTAAGAAAATCGTTTTAAAAAAATCAGGACGAGGGTCCCTAAAAGAAAGATAATGCAAAGAAAATGGCTGGCTTTTAAAAAACTCAGTACAGCTATCATAAATGGAGTCCTGAAAGAGAAAACCAAAAAAAAGTGACATCTAGAGAAAAGTATCAGGCAGCAAATAGAATTAACTTTCTTGAGATCTGGACAGTATAAAAGGCAAAAATAATATGTTTGTCAAGAAAGTCAAAGGAAGGAAAAAGGAATAATTAAAGGGCAACAGTGAAAACAGAGATGAAATAATCCCTCTGCCTAGGATCAATATGTATAAAGGAAAAGTAGGTGAATTCCTCAAGTGCTCACAAGACTTGTATCTTCTTCATCAAAGAAAACAGTCTAGAGCAGGGGTAGGGAACGTCCTTATATAGCCCGTGGAATTATTTGGTCTGGCCCTATAAAAGCAACCGCAGTTCCAGCCATCACAATAGGGGTGAGTTAATTAAATGTTTGACCAAATACAGCAGGCTAATTTTGATAATTGTGTATAATTATAAATTATAAGTTGATAATTATGTATGACCCACAAATGTTATACATTTTGGCAGAAAAAAAGTTTCCCTCCCCTGGTCTAAAGAATAGAATCAACACTGTGATGAGAAATTAAAGATCAAAACAGATAAGGAGATACCAAAAGAGCAATCTGTTTTAGCACCCTGGGTTGGTACAAATGGTTTGATCATTCAAACCTAGCCTGTAACTGGTTCCATAAAGATCACATGCAAGAAAATCCTAGAGAATTCAATTCTGTGTTATAGCACGAGGCCACCATCAGTAGGAGTGGACTTGCCAGCAGCAGGTTAGCACTGATACCCAAGTCAACTAAATTACATTTCAAGGGAGTAGAAGAACTTACTTATATTAGACCTATCATCATCTCTTCAAAATTATCTAGAAAAAGAAAAGTTTTCCAAAACTTTTCAAAACTGTGTTCAAATAGCAGTGGGTACTGGAAACTAAAGAACTTAGCCACTGGCAGGAAATAAATGGCAAAGTCAAACTGGGCAACCTGAGATGAGTTTCATAAACACCTAAAGGGGGGCTTTAAAAAATGCTGGCATGCATCATGAACTAGGTTTTGGCTATTAAACTAATGGACTGTGAAGACACTGAGGAAGAAAGAAGTCACTCTTCTATGGCAGTTCAGCCTCACTAAGAACAAGTCATGCCAACCTGCAAGCCTCATTTCCTAAGTAAGAGCTGTGGGGCGAGAGGGGGCAGTGCGGGAGGGTTGTTGTTGTTGTTAAGTGCCGTCGAGTCAGTTCCGACCCATAGCAACCCTGTACAGGGTTTCCAAGGGTGTAAATCTTTACGGGAGTAGAAAGCCTCATCTTTCTCCAGCGGAGCGGCTGGTAGTTTCGAACCACTGACCTTAAGGTTCGCAGCCCGATTCGTAACCACTACGCTACCAGAGCTCCTTAGAGCTAGGAAAGTACTTTGGTTAGAGACTAGGAAAGTACTTTGGGACAGCGAAAGAAATGTGGACTGGATGAGAAAACTGATGCAGAAGTATATTAGTGACAGCCCCTAAACCCAAAAACAAACTCACTGTCATTAAGTTGATCCCAGCTCATAACCATCCTGTCTAGGGTTTTCAAGGAGGCACATTTTTACAGGAGCAGAAAGTTTCATTTTTCTCCCTTGGGATAGCTAGTGAATTTGAACTGATGACTTTGTGGTTAGGAGTCCAGTGTTTATACTACAGTGCCACGAGGGCTCCCTAATGACAGCTCCTAGGAAGGTCTAACAGCTCTATGAATAGTGAGTGCCTAGCCTCTCGACATTTCTTTCAGCAATGTGCTCTAAAAGGAAGGTATGCTCATTCAATTTACAAACAGCTGAAAGAGACAATTTAAAAAGTTACAACAATTTGACAGACTGAGCAATGAGAAAAAGTTACTATGGTGAAACTGAGCAACTGCAAGTCCCAACTTCAGGTTCCAAAACTAAACAGTAAGAACACAGGAAAACAGCACTGGATTTCAAATAACAGGATGAAAAGTCATCTCTGAGCTAAAAGTATGACATGATTGCTTTAAAAAAAACAAGAAACAACTTCAGGCTAATTTACTCAAAGTTCAATGTCTGAATCAGAAGCCAAAATCAGACTTAGTTTTAGCTGTAACAATTTTGGTGGATCAGAGACAAATGCAGGATGGTAAAGCTTAAACGCCATGTCATATGAGACAAACAAAAGAAACTATAAGTATTTGACCTTAAAAAAGAACAAGGGGAGGAGGATATCTGAGTAACTGTTATAGAAGAAAATTCAGAATTACTTTGTACAATTCCTGAGCTAAATAATGAGATGGAGTTATAAGCAGGTATACCATAACTAAACATAAGGAAGGACAAGAAACGAACTGGCTAATGACCAACAATGGATAGACTAAAAATATTTTAAAAGTAAGGAGTTGTCACTGCAAATGTTAAGTAAAGGCTGGATAACTTATCAAAAAGGATTCCTAATACAATCAAAGATGCCATCAACTAATCAATACTGGAAACAGGGAAGAACCTTATATTAACCACTGGCAGGAAATAAATGGCAAAATCAAACTGGACAACCTGAGATGAGTTTCATAAACACCTACAAGGGGAGCTTTAAAAAATACACTATTAAAAACCTATTATCTTTTCATTCCATTTTCCCATTAACTTTTTGAAGCCCCCTCATATTTTTTTTAAAAGTTTAGGAATATCACAAAAAATAGAAAGATAGATCCTTGAGCCAGAAGGATCAAGAGGAGGAAGTAGCGCCTACAATCCAGAGAACACTACAGCAAAGATCTATCACCTTCCAGCAAAAGAAGCCAATCTAGGACTGAGGAAATAAATGGTAAACTCACTTGCTTCCCTCCTATCTCTTGCTAATGCTCCACATTGGTCAAATCTAACTGGAAGCCAAAAAGTCAAGAGACCCAGCTGATGCTCCGGGTACAGAATGGTGGAGAGTAGATCTGGAAGAATAAATAGATGTCCAGCATGCCACTGAGGCCTGCAATATTCTAATATACATGTTCCAATAAAGACAAGCCACTCTTTATGCCTTGAACAAATTCCTACATATAAGACCCAAAACAGCCACTTAACTTCATGATAATAATACAGAAGACAACAAAGACAACAAACCTCAGACACAATAATCCAAAGTCATATCATATAGTTCACAAATAGTATTAAATGTTAGCATATTTTATGTTAAAAGGAGAGAAGTGGTAGTACGTGAACAATTGGAAGCAAAAGCTTACAAAAGACAGTTAGTTCTGCAGGCTGTGGGGTGGGCTAGGGTTGGTAAGCCCAGACCATTATGGGTGGTGGAGGCTATGCTATGGAGTTCAGGTCTTCTTGTTGGGGATGGATATAGTGAGTAATGACTCCTACTCGGAACTGACAATATTTAAGGCAACAGAAGGAAAAAGAAAAGGAAAGCCAAAAACTGGGAATCAATTGACCTGGGTTCTAGTCACCGCTTTGCCTCATTAAATAATGGGATCTTAGACAAATAACTTAATTCTCTATGTCTTGGTGTCTTTGTTTATGAAACTGGAAATGAAAGATCTAAATATCTACCTATTAAATGTCACTTTTAACAAATAGCAGGCTATGAACAACTCCAAAAAATGTTCAAGCAGTTAGTTGACAGCCTTGCTACAATTGGTATACGCCTTGGTTATCAGCTGGGAACTTGTTAGAAGTGCAGATTTCAAGTCCCACACCAGATCTACTGAATCCAAATCTATACTCTACTAGCACCAAGTAATGATTTGTATCCACATTAAAATTTGAGAAGCTCTGGTCTACACCTAGTTTCTGGCTTAAGTTAGTGTGTCAATGATGGCATCATACACTAATTGGAGGGCTATAGGAGAGAATTCTTTGGATGGAAAGATGCTGCAGTCCATTTGGAATAAGTAGGGACTAAGTCACTTAACAACAACAAAGTCACAGGATGAGTAACTCCTGTAGAGGAAAGGTAGTAAGGAGGGGGAACAGGTTATGGGTTTGGTTTTGTTTTTCAATTAGATAAGAAAGAACTGAACCAATCCAATAACTGGATACTGTACATATGCTGGGCTCACAGCTTTTCATTCTCCTTCACTGTACATATCTAATTCTGCTTCGAGTATTATTTTTCTCGTTATGTCCACCTTCTCTTTAATCCTCTTCCTCTTTTCCTTTTCTCTTCCAAGCTTTGTTTAATTGGCTCAGAAAAGTTTTCTCTCCCTTCCTCTTACCATACTATCCATTTTTCCTTCTATCCTTTCTCTACTCATTGTTCTAACTTAAATTCTAAATGGGAATGAGTAAAGAACACTGCTTTATATCAATAAACAGACTGGTAAATTTAAAAATGATCCCATCAATCTATAAACATCTGATTATGGGCAGCAGTCCCTTTTGAAATCTCCACCATCTCTGTGAACTCTATAAACCCATTGCTATGTAGTCTATTCTGACTCATAGGGACTCTATAAGGTCAGAGAAAAACTGTCGCATAGAGTTTCTAAGACAGTAATCTTTACAGAAAGCAGACTGTCACATCATTATCCCAGGGTGTGCCTGGGGTTCACATTGTTGACCTACAGTTAGCAGTCACAAAGTTAAGTACTTCAGCTATGTCACCAGGGATTTTATGAACTTTACATCCTCCTCTAATTAAACCCATTTAGTTTTCTAGTTAAGTGAACAACTCTACTTCAATCACTGTATTCAATATACGCAAATACTACAAGTGCACTACCCAATTCAGCCTCACTATGAATTAGCAGAGCTCTCTGAATCTATCTAACGAATTTAACCAATTATTGTGGTTATTCCCATAGGGAAATACAATCTGTGTTCCAAACAACTGACGTACAAATGAACTCTTGGAACACAATCTGTTCCTTAATTGGGAACTATATGTAATTTCTATCTATCCCACATGCTTCATGGGCAATACAGTAAAAGAGTTTGACAAGCAAAAGTCTATTACTGGAAATTGTAACAATAAGGTCATATTTGGGATCACTCAAAATCATCATCACAATTGCCTAACTAGATATCCTGGCACTTTTCAAAGCTTTATCTCTCAAAAAAAAAAAAAATTTAACATTAAGTAATTCAGTTCTTTCTACAGTATTCCATCACTGTATGCTGCCTCCTTAAAGAGAAAAGCAGAAAAAGACAAGAGGAATAAATGCTACTACAACTCACTACTTCCACCAGGCAAAATCAGTTTCCTTAACTATTTCAAGTTATCATAAGTAAAGTAGCAACGCTGATTTGTTTTACTATGAACCTAGAAAATGTGTCTTTATTTCCCCCTGAAATCCAACCTATAATTCATGCTTTCTTCTAAAATGTCTTTTTATTGAGAATGCAGGAGTAACAGACTACTAAAATATAATGAGATGAAAGATTATGATATTCTATTTTACTAAAAGATACGAGCACTTTTGAGGTAATGACAATTCTATCTGTAAGGTGATAGTTTTTGTTGATTGTGTGTTGTTAACTTAGCTCTGAATTAAGGAAATAACATAAAGGCAAAGTACAGTGTTCACGTCAGTATTCTTTCATTTCCACCAATTTTGCTGACTAGACCACAGAAAGAAGCAGAGTCCATTTAACTTACTCTCTGGGTCTTCGAGGGAAGTATCATTACAAGAGTCTGTATCTGAATAGGTTCTTCGGCGTCGCTGGGAGAATCGATGAAGTGCAGACACTGGTTCTTTCACAGAGTAGGTACTCCTGCAAATTACATTAAAACCATGACGTTGAGAGAACCATTAAATTGTAAGGCCTTAAACAAATGAAAACTCCTGGCCCCTTAACTCTATAGGAGTTTTAAATTACTTCTCTTTAAATGAAAAAACAACTATTTTTATTCCCAAAGAACTATGTTAGCAACATTCTATTCATCCAGAGATCAAATGCCCATGTCATGCTCTCTAGAACCCAGCTGGTAACCTGGTGAGATGGGCTCTATGTAGAACTAAATAGAAAGGGGTATAGTAAAGAAGCAACTTTCTCTGTAGGAGAGCATCCAGCTATATAGTAGGCTTCAACCAAAATCAATAACTTACACATGTTTAAAACATAAGAGCTGTGGATTTCACAAGTACAGCTATACAATGTCAATCAATAACTGATTAAAAGCAACACACTGAAGGGGACAAGCAAGTAGGTGGAGCACATGCTACTAACATGAGTGAAAGTAGAGCAAAAAAGAATATTAACTATTAAAATGAAAGACAGCACAGTGGCTCTATACGATAAGCACTGAACAGTAAACCACAAGGTCAGCAGTTCAAGCCCACTCAGCCACGCCACGGGAGAAAGATGAGGCTTTCAGCTCCCACAAAGATGTACAGCCTCAGAAACTCTATTCAGCGTCACTATGAATCTGAATCAACTGGACGGATCTTAACATTACAACAAAAACTCTATCTGGAATGAATTAACTACCAATCACCAACAACAAATGGCTACCACTGTAAAAATTACACAAAGCAAAACTCATTGCTGTCGAGTCAATTCTAACTCATAGTGACCCTCTATAGGGCAGACGAAACTACTCCATAGGGTTTCCAGGATTGTCACCTGTACAGGAGACTGTCATAGCTTTCTCCCACAGCAGTTGGTAGGTTTGAACCACTGATCTTTTGACTAGCGGTTGACACTTCAACCACTGAGCCACCACGGCTCTTCTGGCTACCCTGTGCTGATGGTGTGCCATCAAGTCAGTTCCAACTCATGTTGTTGTTGTTTGGTACCACCGAGTTGGTACCAACTCATAGAGACCCAATGCACAAAAGAACAAAACATTGCCCAGTCCTCGGCTAACCTAACAATTGTTGCCACGCTTGAGCTCATTTATGCTGCCACTTTGCCAATCCATCTCACTAGGGGTCTTCCTCTTTTTCTCTGACCCTCCACCGTATCAAACATGATATTCTTCTCCAGGGACTGGCCCCTCCTGACAATATGTCTGAAGTATAAGAGACAAAGTTGGCCATCCGGCCTCCAAGGAACACTCTGATCGTACTTCTTCTGACACTGATCTGTTGGTTCTTTTGGCAGCCCATGGCACTTTCAATATTCTCCTCCAACACCATAACTCAAAATCATCAATTCTTCTGCAGTCTTCCTTATTCACTGTCCAGCTTTCACGTGCATTATGAAGTTATTGAAAATACCATGGCTTGGGTCAGGCGCACCGTAGTCTTCAAGCTAACATCTATGCTCATCAACACTTTAAAAAGATCTTGTGCAGCAGATTTGCCTAATGCAATACATCGCCTAATTTCTTGACTGCTGCTTCCATGAGTGTTGATAGTTTATCCAAGAAGAATGAAGTCCTTGAAAACTTCAATCTTTTCTCCGTTGATAAGACTGTTATTTATTTTACTGGTCCAGTGGTAAGGATTTTTGTTTGCTTTACATTGAGATGCAATCCATACTGAAGGCTGTGCTCTTTGCTCTTCATCAGTAAGCACTTTAAGTCCTCTTCACTTTCAGCAAGCAAAGTTGTATCATCTGCATATCGCAGTTTGTTAATGAGCCTTCCTCCAATTCTGATGCTACATTTTTCTTCATACAACTCGTTTCCCGGATTATTTGCTCAGCATACAGGTTGAATAAATATGGTAAAAGAATACTACCCTGTACACACCTTTTTAAATTTTAAACCATTCAGTGTTCCCATGTTTTGTTCGAACAACTGCCGCTTGGTCCATGTACAGACTCCTCATGAGTACAAGTAAGTGTTCCGGAATATTAATACTTCACAATGTTGTCCATAGCCTGTCATGATCCATACAATCAAAAGCCTTTGAGCAGTCAATAAAGCACAAGTCAACATCTTTCTGGTATTCTTTTTCAGCCAAATTTCATCAGACATCAGCAATGATATCCCTCGTTCCATGGCCTCTTCTAAATTCAGCTTGAACATTTGGAAGTTCTCTGTCAATGTGTGCTTGCAGCCGTTTCTGTATTACCTTTAGTAAAACTTTACTCTCCTGGTAATATCAAAGAGATTGTCTGATGATTTTGGCATTTTATTGGGTCACCTCTCTTTGGAATGGTCACAAATATGGATCTCTTCCAAATTTCTTGGCATAGATGATTGAGTGCCTCCAGTGCCACCTCACTTTCCTGAAAATTTTCAATTTTTATTTCATCAATTCCTGGTGTCTTGTTCTTTGCCAATTCCTTCAATGTACCTTGGACTTCTTCCTTCAGTATCATTAGCTCCAACTCATAGTGCCCTGAATAGGGTTCCCAAGGCTGTAAATCTTTATGGGAACAGAAAGCCTCATCTTTCTCCCCGAAGTGAATGGTAGATTTAAACTGCTGACCTTGTGATTAGGAACCTAGCTTATATATGCTACCAGGGCCCTCTGGCTACCTGTGTTGTTGTTGTTAAGTGCCATCAAGTTGGTTCTGACTCATAGCAACCCTGTATAGGGTTCCCTAGGAGAAGCTAGTGGGTCTGAATCACCAACTTTGTGTTCAGCAGTCCAGTGCTTATTCCACAGTGCCACATCAGGACATGCCAAAATTACTGTGTTACTAATGACTTGGATTCATCAAGAAAAATCTTAAGTGTGCTCAGTGTACCTTACTCAAATATGGCTGAAAGAGTAAAATACAGTTTAGAAATATCTCTATCAAAAAAATGAAAAGTTTGTCAAAGGGATTAAGCCTCCATTTTTCTAGGAAAATCAGTTGATAGAACTCTGTATTCCCTAATGGGGCTGGATACATGCATCACAGGAGTCATCTGAGAGCATGATGGTTCACATCATCATCATCATGGCAAAAAAGAAAACATGACAAAATAGTAGCAAGTGTTCTGTTAAGACCTGGCATTCTTTATTTAAAGAAATCAGTGCTAGTGTCACTATGATTGCATCACTTTCCAAAGAACCAAAGCAATTTAAAAGAACACTGCCTACAAATAAACAGTAGTTTAAGAACATGGTAAATTTAGATAGAGCTATCTTAAGGAGCTATGGTAGCGCAGTGGTTATGAATCTAGCTGCTAATCTCATAGTCAGCAATTCGAAACTACGAGCTGTTCTGCTGGAGAAAGATGAGGCTTTCTGCTCCAGTAAAGATTTACAGCCTCGGGAGCCCTATGCAGGGACGCTGTGAGTCAGAAGCAATTCCATGGAACATAACAATCTAGAAGATAAATGTTTTAAATGCCTTGATATCAACATAGACTTTTAAATATCAAGTAGTTTTCTAATCTAGTTTTTCAGAGGGATCTTCCTCTTCTAATAAAACAAAAGTTCAGTATGAACCTCACAAATGGATTTCTACGAACCAACATTTGATATAACTTGATACATCAAACAGTAAGTACAATAGCTGCCAAGGTACTTAACAAGTTAGTTTAATTACTCAATCTCTTTTTTTTTTTTTTTTTTACTGATTACCTACTGTGAAAAGACCTTATACTAAGCACCAAGATAAAATGCTAAGCAAATCAAAAGCAAACCCTGTCTATATGTATATTCTGTACCACTTTTTAAAAGCCCAGAGAATTCTCCCACATAAATGTCATTTTGAGAAAACGTGGCTAAAAGAAAAAGTTTTTTTTTTTTTTACCTTTCTGAACTGCAAGTACCAGGATGGCTAACAGAACGCTTCATCTACAAATTAAAAATAAAGAAATCAATACAATTCATAATGAGTAGAATACTGTAGCTCTAAGACATTATTGGAATCCCAGTGCTGTAGTATAAGCACTGGACTGCTAACCTCAAGATCATCAGTTCAGACCCACAGTTGCTCCCTAGAAACTCTATACAGGGTCAACAGAAGTCAGAACCAACTCAACAACACTTAATAACAAGATATTATTATTGTCATAACTTACAGAATAAGATTGATAAGAAAAAACTTTTTACAGAGTTAAATGATATAATTTGTAAAATGTCAAGCTTTCTACCTAACAATCATTAATAGGAATCTTTCTCAACTTATACCAAAAAATGCTATATCCTTTTCTCAATACAAAAGATGAGTTTTTGTAATGTCTTATTAATAAATTTATGTGCACATATATAATATCTAAAATATATACATAAAACAGCATATATAACTACTTTAGGAGTCATACTATTTGTGATAGAAAGGAATATATAGCAACCAAAAAGATACTCTCTCCATGTCTCTCTTCTTTATAAGGGCAGGCATAGGGTATCACAGCAAAGCTTCTCTTTACCATTCATTATTCAGGTAGCCAGTACACAGATATTCTAAAGTGTTGTTTTCATGGAAGAAGGACTTTAATAATTCAAATTTCAAAGAACTCTACAGATGAATCTTAAGTCTCAAACAGGTTTCTAAAATATGTTATCTTAAAAAAAATAAAGACATGTCTGACTAGGTCAAATATTAATAAGTATGTTAATTAGTAAACATAATTTAGAAGATTGAACTATTCTATGAAAAAAACAGAGGGTGGCAGCCAAGTAAACATTATTTCAAGGTTTAGTAAGGTAGCAGAAGAGCAGAGTTTATACTAATGGCTAAGGACAGCTGCTTTTATATACATACATAGGTTCAAGACCCTTAGCAGTCCAGGTGTAATATTTATGTTTCTGTAGTGATCTATAAGCCACAGCTGCTCTAAGTCCCAGGTGAAATGATAACATAAATGACCCACTCAATATGTAGTAAGAACATTCAGGTGATTGACATTAAGATACAAAGGGACATTAACCTTTCCTAGAACATAAATCATTTCCTTAAGATGATATGCCCACTATTGTCAATTATTCAACTTGTGGGTCAAATTATCTAATTTCTAGGATAATTTGAAATAAACTCTACTCTAAGAAGGATACGATAAGACTACCTAAATAAATGATCAGGTTAAACAGTTATCAAATATCTCAGCTTTATTGTTCATTTACCCAAGCTATTTAAAAGGAAAAAAAAAAAAAAAGGATTTTCCCATGAAAGTTGTCTGATACTACTTTCTGATACTACTTTCATTAGCTAGGTGTCTCTACAACTAATCACCATAAGCCACAACTTCTGTTTCACGTATGAAATAAAAGGCAGAGCTAAGGAAAAACAGCCGCTCCGCGGGAGAAAGATGAGGCTTTCTACCCCCGTAAAGATTTACACCCTTGGAAACCCTGTACAGGGTCGCTATGGGTCGGAACCGACTCGACGGCACTTCACAACAACAACAACAAGGAAAAACAAGCTGCCTCTCACATTTCCTAGACTGGCTTACTGGATTTCTCATAATTTTTCTAATAAATTATTTTGGTTTAAAAGAAACCAAAGACATATATAACACAGACATATAACTTCTCTGGACAACAAAAAATTTGTAACAAGGCTTTTTCTCAAGAGTTCAGTAAGTATGTGAGGAAAGCATGAAACAAAATGTGTATGAATTATTGAATGGAAAGCTCATTTTCTCTGTAAACCTGCATCCAATTCACAATAAAAAGTTATTTAAGAAAAAAAAAGAAAGAAAAGAAGTTTTTAGCTGCTTTTATTGTACCTGACTTTATCCAGGGGAAAAAACAGCATTGTTGTTGTTGTTGTTTTTAAGTGCTGTCAAGTCTGTTCTGATTCATAGCTACTTTGGTAATTGGTTTCCAAGGCACAGCTGGTGGGTTTGAACAGCTGACCCTATTGTTAGCAGTTCAATGCTTATCCTATAGCACCACACCAGGACTCCAAAAACAGCATACCTGTATATACTAATTTCATGAACATGGTACTATATGTTTTTTTCTGTTTGAATATGAAATATATCTACAATTGTTTTAAAAAGCAACGTTATCAAACTGTATTGACTGAATACCATAGTCCTGTGAGAGGTTATTCAAAACAAACAAAACGGGTTCACTTATTCTACATTTTTCAGAAACACTGCACACTCTCTCTCACTGAAATTCGTAACGCACAAAGATACTCTGAGAAGTCCTAAGACAAAGACACCCAATTCATTGAGGTTAACTTAGCACTTCCAAAGTAATCTGGCCATAAAACTGTTATTTGACAGTATAACTGTCTCAGAGGACACTGATGAGAAAATAAGAATCTAAATTCAATTGAGATAACCATCTTGGCTAAGTCCCATACTTTGCTGTGGAGGGTATGAGAACCTAAGGATAACTTGGACTCTATTCTTTCATCTAACTAACAAGTCTCCAGGTAATTGCTAAAATAATAGCTATGAACCCTTACAAAGGTATTATTCTTCCTTTTACAAAACAACCCCTAAATTAAAGTTGCATCAAACCTTATCTCACCTGTGTGTACCCACAGTATGTAAAAGCAAGTTTATTAGCTTGGAAAGGACAATAAATTCACCACCCCCAGCAAAAAGTACTTGTTGTTCCCAAGTAATCATATGCACCTACACCTACAGTAGGTCAGCCTCTTTAGAAGGACCTCCTGATGAAGGCACTCAAATGTCTATTTTACAGATGAAGCCAAGGTTCAAAGAGATTAAGTAACTTGCCTACTCAGATACACATGGTGGATCTGAGGTTCACATAGGATGAATACAAAATACCACTTCCATTATGTCCTTTCAAATCCTTTATATTTCCTTTAAGGATCTGTTTACTTTTACGCAATTGTGATTTTTTTTTTTTTTTTTTTTACCAAGCAGAAGACTGCTCCTTAACCTTTTTCATGCCTTGGCACAAACAGGTAACTCTAACACTGGCCTGGCACACTGGGATAAATGGATAAAGTCGCTCATAGCAAGTCCTGCTAGTCCTTCCTGTGCTGAGCTCACCAGAAAAGCTCCAAAGAAGAATGAGTCCACTCCACTTTGAAGAAAAGTTCAACTACTCCCCCCCCATACCTACCCCTAAAAATTAAAAAATATGCACTCTCACGGGGGAAAAAAAACAAGCAATTCTAACCAACTGAACAGGAGACGGTGACACCGGAGAAACTAAAGGATCTGGATGGGGCAGTTGGAACATCTCAGGTTTAAACTTGGCATTTGCTATCTTCACACATTCCTCAAGTGTTGTGATGAATGTATTACATGTGGCACTAAGCAGAGAAGAGGCTTCATTCATATTCTGAAAAATTATATACAGAGAGGTTAAACAGATTCACACAAATTATATTCAAAGGCAGTTAAACATATTCACACAAACTATGTAGAATCACACATACCTTAATAATCAAGAAACATTACTTCCAAAAGATACATTACTAAATTATGCTCCAATTTATTAAAAAATAAACTACTTTAGAAAATTAAAACAACACATTAATAATATGTTTCTGACAGGTGAAGGGAAACAGGGAGTCCAGGGGAGAAGTGGGAAGAGTACATTGAGGGGATTGCAACTAATGTCATGATACAAAATGCATATAAATTGTTGAGTGGGGAAATAATCTGCTGTTTAAACTTTCACTCAAACCACAATAAAGTTATTACAAAAAATGTGCCTCTCAGACAGGTAATGTGTAAACCTGATTGCAAGGGGGAAAAAAAAAAAGTTTTGCTTTCAAACCAAGTGTCATACTGAAAAAGTAAGTAAACAAAAATGTATCTTCAATAAGCCTAACTACCTACATATACTTTAATGTACTCAGAATTCTGAAAGTGGTCATAGAATTCTAAAGGTAAAACACCCTGAGAGCTACAAATGAGTGCAATTCATGTCTACCCTACAACCATTTTCCCACTTCTTCCTTGGTAGAAAAAAAGCCCTAGGTTTTTTTTCAGACATTGCAGTGCCCTATGGGGAAAAACACAAACTCTTCTAAACCAATCATGAATATTCCAATCTTTGTTGCCAAATCCTCATTTTTTCTCGGCTTCCTTTGGCCTAGCCAAAAAAAAGATGATGTCAGCTGGGAAGTTTCTGGAATTTTTCTCCTTGATAAAAAGCAAGGACCCTGAGCATCCTAGGAAGAATTAAAAAACCCTGGGTCTCTGATGCTGACACCGAGCTGCTGGAGCAACTGTGAGAGCACCAGCCTCCACAGAGCTCGCCGTGAAACAGTAAGCACCCTTCGTGTTCAATTAACTTTAAATGTGGTATTCTAGTCTCTGCAGTCAGCATAAACTGCCTCATACAAGATTCCTAACCAAAAAAAAAAAGTTACAGGAAAGTAAGAAATCTTCTTCTCCTGTTGTTGCTGTTAGGTGCCATCGAGTCAGTTCCGATTCATAGCAGCAATTAGCACAACAAGCAAAGCACTGCCCAGTCCTGTGCCATCCTCAGAATCATTGCTAAGCTTGAGCCCAACACTGCTGCCACTGTGCCATTCCACCTTGTAGGAGAATCTTCCTCTTTTTGCCGACCCTCCACTTTACCTACCTAGCATGATGCCCTTCTCTAGGGACTGTTACTTCCTGATAATATGCCCAATTATTCTGACTTCTAAGGAACATTGTGGCTGTACTACTTCCAACATACATTTTTTTGTTCTTCTGGCAGTCTGTGGTACTTTTAATATTCTCCTCCAACATCATAACTCAAACATATCAATTCTTCTATGGTTTTCCTTATTCACTGTTCAACTTTCACATGCATACTGCTGAAAATACCATGGCTTGGAACAAGTGCACCTTAGTCCTCAAACTGACATCTTTACTCTTGAACACTTTAAAGAGGTCTTGTGCCGCAGATGTAACTAACACAATATGCTGTTTGATCTCCTGACTACTGCTTCCATGAATGTTGACAGTGCATCCAAGCAAAATGAAGTCTTTGACAATTTCAACCTTTTCTCCATTTATCATGATGTTATTTACTGGTCCAGTGGTAAAGATTTTTTGTTTTCTTCAAATTGAGGTGCAACTCATATTGAAAGCTGTGCTCTTTAATCTTCATCAGTTAGTATGTCCTCATTGCTTTCAGCAAGCAAGGTGGTATCATCTGCATATCACAGGTTGTTAATGAGTCTTCCTCATGCCTATTCTTCCTCATGCCTCAATCCTGATGCCATGCTCTTCATCATATAATCCAACTTCTCAGATTTGCTCAGCATTCAGATTAAATAACTATGGTGAAAGAATACAACCCTGGCACACACCTTTCCTGAATTTAAACCACTCAGTGTCCCCTTTTACTGTTCAAATGACTAGTTCTTGGTCTATGTATAGATTCCTCATGAGCACAAGTGTTCCATAATACTGAATCTACGCAATGTCGTCCATGGCTTAAAATGATCCACACAGTTGAAAGCCTTTGCACAGTCAGTAAGTCACAGGAAAACACTTTCTGGTATTCTCTGCTTTCAGTCAAGATCCATCTGATGTCAGCAACGATAGCCTACAATCCATGACTTCCTCTGAATCTGACTTGAACATCTAGCAGGCAGTTCCTAGTCAATGTACTGTGGTACCCATTTTTTAATTATCTTGAGAAAAATTTTACTTACATATGATATTAATGACATCATCCAATGATTTCCACATTCTGTTGGATCACCTCTCTCTGGAATGGGCACAGATAAGGATTTCTTCCAATTTCTTGGCATAGATGAGTGAGAGCATCCAGTGCTGCAGTTTGTTGAAATATTTCAATTTGTATTCCATCAATTCCCAGGCTTGTTCTTTGCCAGTGCCTTCAATGTGCCTTGGACTTCTTCCTTCAGTACCACTGGCTCTTGATCATATATTACCTCTTGAAATGGTTGAACATCATTTCTTTTTCGTACACTGAATCTGCATTCCTTCCATCTTCTTTTGGTGCTTTCTGCAACATTCAATATTTTGCCCATTGACTACTTCAATACTGCAAATGGATGCTTAAATTTTTTCTTCAGTTCTTTCAGCTTGAGATAATGCTGAACATGTTCTTCCCTTTTGGTTTTCTAAGTCAAGGTCTTTGTACATTTTGTTATATTTGACTGTCTTCTCAAGCTGACCTTTGAAATTTTCTACTCAGCTCTTGTACCTCCTCATTTCTTCCATTTGCTGTAGCATCTCTACAATGAAGAACAAATATCAGAGTCTCTTCTGACACCCATTTTGGTCTTTTTCTTCCACCTTGTCTTCTTAATCATCTTTTGCTTTCTTCCTTTATAATGTTCTTGATGTCATCCCACAACTAAATTTGGGTGAGATATGTTCAAGGTCATATTTTGGCTCTCATGGACATGGTTTAATTTCCTTCAGCTAAAGTCTGAACTTGCTATAAGCAATTGATAGTCTGTTCCACGGTTAGCCCCTGGCTTTGTTTTAGCTTGTTATGGAGCTTTTCCATTGTTTCTTCCCATTGTTGTTGTTGTTGTCAGGTGCCATCAAGTCGGTATGGGCTCATAGCGACCTTATGCACAGCAGATCCTGATCCTGGGCCAACCTCACTACTGTTGCCACGCTTGAGTCCATCGATGCTGCCACTTGACCCATCCATCTCATTGGGGGTCTTCCTCCTTTTCTCCAACCCTCACCTTACCAAACATGATATCCTTCTCCAGCGACTGGTCCCTCCTGACATTATGTCCGAAATATGCACTCTGGCTGTACTGCTTCCAAAACAGATCTATTGGTTCTCTTGGCACTTACAATATTCTCCTCCAACACCATAACTCAAATGCGTCAATTCTTCTACAGTCTTCCTTATTCAATATCCAGCTTTCGCATGCGTATGAGGTTACTGAAAATACCATGGCTTGGGTCAGGCGCACCTTAGTCCTCAAGCTGACATCTTTGCTCATCAACACTTTAAAAAGGTCTTGTGCAGCAGATTTGCCTAATGCAATACATTGTTTGCTTTCTTGATCTCCTGACTACTGCTTCCGTGAATGTTGACAATTGATCCAAGAAGAATGAAGTCCTTGACAACTTCAATCTTTTCTCCATTGATAAGAATGCTGTTTATTGGTCCAGTGGTTAGGATTTTTGTTTTCTTTACATTGAGATGTAATCCATACCGAAGGTTTGGTCTTTGATCTTCCAGAGATTCAAGCCAGATTCAGAAGAGGCATGGAATGAGAGATATCGTTGCTGATGTCCAATGGATCTTGCTAAAAGCAGAGTGTATCAGAAAGATGTTTACCTGTGTTTTATCGACTATGCAAAGGCTTTCGAGTGTGTGGATCATGACAAGCTATGGACAACATTGTGAAGTATGAGCATTTCAGAACACTTAATTGTGTTCATAAGGAATCTGTACATGGACCTAGAGGCAGTTGTTCGAACAGAATGTGGGAACACTGAATGGTTCAAAATTAAGAAAGGTGTGCGACAGGGTTGTATTCTTTCACCATACTTATTCAACCTGTATGCTGAGCAAATAATCTGAGAAGCTGAGTTATATGAAGAAACATGTGCCAACAGGATTGGATGAAGACTCATTAACAACCTGGGATATGCAAATGATACAACCTTGCCTGCTGAAAGTGAAGAGTACTTAAAACATTTACTGATGAAGATCAAAAAGCAGTCTTCGGTATGGATTACATTTCAATGTTTCTTCCCATAGATGTAATCAATTTAATTTGTGTGTATTCCATCCAATGAGGTCCATGTGTATAGTCATCTTTTATGTTGTTTAAGAATGGTAATTGCAATGCTTAAGTCATTGGTTTTGAAAAATTCTAACATGTGATTTCCAGTACTGTTACTATTACCATGCCATACTTTCCAATTACTGATCCTTCCTCTGTTTCCAACCTTTGTATTCCAATCACCAGTTATTATCTTTCCTCTTCTAGAAAATTAGGCAAAAGAGGACTAAAAAAAGATTCCCTGTGCCTTTTTCAGGAAAATAGTAGAGTCCACTGACACTACTTATCTGATTTCATATCCAGGTCCTACATATCTAAATTTTTATTCCAAGACCACTGTTCTAAGGAGTTCTTTTTTTTTTTAAAGTTACTTCATAAAGTTAAAATATCAGCTTTCAGTAGCTGAAGCTGGAACCTTATCAACAAAAGAAAGAGAACAGCAATTATCCAATGAACTCATGCAGTCAGCCTGGAGAACAAAGCCAGGAATATTTCCTCCCCACCCCAAGCCACAAGTTATAAAATGGGCTATAAAGACAGGCCTTCATTCCCTTGAGGAATTCACTGCTTCCTGCTTTACTGAAACTGTACATATATAACCTAGCAGATCACTTAGATTCCCAGACAGTGTGCAGGAAAGAGACTGCAACACAGAAGAGCTGAAAATGACTCATTCTGAAAATTCTTCTCTGCCATTTTATGGGAAGCATCTCACCCACAAGCATTCTGTAAATCATAACCTGACTGGCAGATTGCTATACCTCCACACTGGGAGATGAGTGAGGCTCATCATGGTGAACAAATTCCTGGATGGTGTGGACTTGCTGCATTAGGAGGTCACAGTAGAGGCGAAGTTCAGACATTTTGGTTTTCAGAGATTCGCTGGTTTCACTTATTTCTGAAAGGAACAGAGACAGATGTTCAATTAAATTATTTCCATATTCTTCAAGGCAATAAGCATAAATAACTCTTACTTGAGAACTGTGAGACACTGGAAATGGGATACATGGACCCTGGGATACAGGTGCCTTCTTCTATGTTGTTGTTAAGTGCTGTTGAGTCAGTTCTGACCCATAGCGACCTTGTATAGGGTTTCCAAGGAGCAGCTGGTGAGCTTGAATCGCCAATGTTATAGTTCAAACAGTTTTGCAGTCTAGTGCATTAACCCACAGCGCCACACCAGGACATAGACAACTAGAAATAAAATGGAAGTCCTATGTCTGCCATAAGTTTAGATTAATTTCTGGGTAATGAGTAACAGATCACTGGATGTTTTACACAGGGTATTTTCATTCTATTTACTGTCTTTTACTTGAATTATTTGTATTTCTTCTTTTGAAATAGACTTTTCTTGCCCATTACCCATTTTTCAATTTCAAATGCTTGGTTTTTCTCTTTAACTAGTTGCCATCAAGTCAACTCCAACTTCTGGCATCCCATGTGCATCAGAGTCGAGTTGTGCTCCACTGGATTTTCAGGTAGACTGCCAGGTCTTTCTTTTGATGAGTGCAGCTGAGCATGGTAACCGTAGCCAGAGACTCCGGGGTTTTCCCTTGCATAATTTGTAAACGTTCTTAGGGACAGCATTAAGGATAGCAGCCTTTTTTTCCTATTTATAGGCTACAAGTATACTTTTCCAGATCTGTCAGTCCAATCAATTTTCTTCTATGTTTTGCATACTGAAGTTTTTCAATTTTATATAATTAAAATCATTGTATAAAAACAGTCATTTATTTTCTTCTGTTCCTCCCCGGACTTCACTTTTACATTAACCATTCTCAGTATTTTTTCTCGACTTTTTTTTTTTTTAACTTTTTATTGTGAATAAAGTGAAGGTTTACAGAGCAGATCACCAGTTTTACATTCAACCAACCACACACTTCATTTCATCTTGATTGCAATCCTCTCAATGTGACATCACTAATCCCATTTCCTTCCTGTGTTTGTTTCTTGTTTCCATTCCTCCTTCTTTCCCAGCCCTTCTGAACTTTGTCCTCGGGTAATTGCTGCCCTTTAGATCTCAGAATGATTGGTCATTCTACAGTGTGAATACCTCACTAGTGGTGTTGTTCCCCCTATATACCTAACTATTGCTTAGCTGAAAATGGAGCCATGGAGTTGAGTTCAGTTCCACAACTGTAGGGGTGACCAAGGGTTATAGTCTTAGGTTCCTAAAATCTCTAGCTGATTAGTAAAACCTGGTCTTTTTTATTCTCAAAATATATATTTTTTTAATTTAATTTTCTTCTAAGATCTGTGTTGTTGTTGTTAAGTACCATTGAGTCGGTTCTGACTGACAGCAGCCTTGTATAGGGTTTCCAAGGTTGGAAAGCTTTGTAGAAGTCGAAAGCCTCATCTTTCTTCCATGGAGTGGTTGGTGAGCTTGAACCACACTGAACTTGTGGTTCGCAGTCCAGTGCTTATCTTCAGAGGCCATACATCCCCTAAACTCTCTTTGTTGTTGTCAGGTGCCATCGAGTCGGAACCGACTCATAGCGACCCCATGCACAGCAGAACGAAACAATGTCCGATCCTGGGCCAACCTCACTACTGCTGCCACACCCAAGTCCATCAATGATGCCACCTGGCTGATCCATCTCATTGGGGGTCTTCCTCTTTTTCTCTGACCCTCCACCCTACCCAGCATGACATCCTTCTCCAGCGATTGTTTCCTCCGGACAATATGTCCAAAGTAGGAGAGACGAAGTTTAGCCATCCTGGCCTCCAAGGAGCACTCTGGCTGCACTTCCTCCAAAACAGATTTATTGGTTCTTTTGGCAGTCCATGGCACTTTCAGTACTCTCCTCCAACACCACAACTCAAAGGCATCAATTCTTCTACGATCCTCCTTATTCACTGTCCAGCTTTCGCATCCATATGAGGCTATTGAAAACACAATGGCCTGGGTCAGGCGCACCCTAGTCCTCAAGCCGACATCTCTACTCTTCAACACTTTAAAAAGTTCCTGTGCAGCAGATTTGCCCAGTGCAATACGTCGTCTGATCTCTTGACTGCTACTTCCGTGAGTGTTGATAGTTGATCCAAGAAGAATGAAGTCCTTGACAACTTCAATCTTTTCTCCATTGATAAGAATGTTGTTTATTGGTCCAGTGGTAAGGATTTTTGTTTTCTTGACATTTAGATGTAATCCATATCGAAGGCTGTGCTCTTTAATCTTCATAAGTAAATGTTTCAAGTCCTCTTCACTCTTCAGCGATCAAGGTCGTATCATCTGCATATCGCAGGTTGTTAATGAGTCTTCCTCCAATCCTGATGCCACGTTTTTCTTCATAGAACCCAGCTTCTCGTATTATTTGCTCAGCATACAGGTTGAATAAGTATGGTGAAAGAATACAACCCTGTCTCACACCTTTCCCAATTTTAAAACTTTCAGTGTTCCCATGTTCTGTTCGAACAACTGCTTCTTGATCTAGGTACAGATTTCTTAGAAGTACAATTGTACTCTCTAAGTCTCCCTAGAGAGTTTAGAAGTACAATTGTACTTAATTGTACTTCTAAACTCTCTAGGGAGACTAAATATCCAGCCGTATCTAAGCTCTTCACATGCCAATATCTTCTAACCTAGAAATTTTTTTTAAGCAGTCAGATGGGAAAAAAAAATAAAAATACAGGCGATGTGGGTACTTCCCCACAATCACCATGCAATACAACGGCACTGCTTATAGCACACTAGTCAGAGGGCCAAAGTAGCTCTGTCTGCCTATTTGATTTCACCTAAATCAATTTCTAGAGTCTGTGGGAGCAAGATGAGACTTTCGGTTCCTGCAGAGACTTAATGTCTCAGAAGTCCTATACAGGGTCACTATGAGTCGCAACCAATTTGACAGTACTTAACAACAACTGGGTGGTACAAACGGTTATTACTAACTTAAAGTTTATAAGTTTGAGTCTACTCAGAGGTGTCTTGGAAGAAAAGTCTGGTGATTTACTTCTTAATTAATCAGCTATTAAAACCCCTCTGGAGCATAAAGAGTTCTCTCACAAGTGAGGTTGCCACGAACTGCAACTGACTTAACATAAACTGGTTTTTCAAATTAATTTCTGGCCCAACTTAAGTCTATCACTTCTTATACTGCCTTTAGCCACACTCTATCCATAATATTATTTTAAAGTTAATATTCATAATATTCTCCAAAAAATTCATGGAAAAATGGAATAAAAAGATAACGTAATTTTTTCCATGAAATTTCTGAAGCCTTCTCATATATTTGAAACCATTATAAATTTAATTCCAGGTCTTCATTTTTCAGTGCCCATAATTTGGTTATTTTCACTAATTTCAATAACTTCTATTGTTTCTTTATTTTAAAAGTATTATATACTCAAAGGAGCTCTGGTAGTGTAGTGGTTGTGAATCGGGCTGCTAACCTCAAGGTCGGAAGTTCGAAACTACCAGCTGTTCCGTGGGAGAAAGATGAGACTTTCTGCTCCTGTAAAGATTTGCAGCCTCAGAAATCCTGTGTAGGGTCACTATGAGTCGGAACCAACACCACGGTACTGAACAACAACAACAACAACATTATATACTCAATGAAAAATTTTGGGAAATAAAAGCAGAGATAGAAAATTAAATGAAACAACTGTAATCACTAGTCAGATAAATCGTTGTGCTCTTGTGAGCCTCCGAGTTGATTCCAACTCATAACAATCCTGTATACTTTCCAAGGAGAAGTTGGTGAGGTTGAACTGTCAACCTTGCACTTAGCAGTCTAGTTCTTATCCTCCAGAGCTACACCAGTCCAGATATAAGTACTATTATTATTGCCTCATGATATCAACATTTGGTTAATACCATAAATAAGATGCCGGGCTCTTGATTTTCTTTTAATCTTTTTAAATAAGCAATATATGCACATTGCAAAATCAAAAGGTAGCCAAGGGTATGAAGTGAAATTGAGTCTCCTTCCCACACATTTCCCTTTCAGAGGTACAAACTTAACCAATTCTCACATACCTTTCTGAGTTAGTCAGTGCATACTAACACCACATGTATTTCTGAATCCTGTATTTTTCAATGATCAACACTGGGTACTTTCTGACCTCATTAAAATTCCTTATAAACATCTTAATCATTACATAATTTATCACCTATGGAATCATTGTAAGATATACATATAGTAATTTGCCCTGTGTTCTTGGTAAGACAGAACTATGTAAGCTTGGAATTTAAGAGCCTTCAATAAGGACTCCAGGCTACTAACTAACCTAACTAACAGGTTAGGTGAGGTGATGAGATAAATTGTAGGGTGAAGGCTGTCCAGACAAGAGAGGCCCACTGCATAGCACTTCATTATTACTGGATAAAATTGAACCATTTCATAGGAGAAGGGCTGGAGTTTTCAGTAAGTCATATGACCCAAAAGAAAAGCTATGGACATGGAAGATCCGTGCACTTCCTGATTGGCAAGAGACTTTCATGCATGTGAGAAGGCAGTACTTCTCATCTGGGAACATGGCAGTTCCACAATGGAAAGCATCTCAGACTTTGCCCTATGCATCTCTCCATTTACATCCTTTTTCCTACCATAAATCTTTAAGTATAGCACTTTCCCTGAGTTCTGTGAGTTATCCCAGTGTGGGAATCAGCAAGTCAAAAGTGAAGAAGCCCAGGGGGACACCGGAATATGTGGCTAGCATTCTCAATGGGTAGAAGGAAACCCCTGAATTTCTAACCGCCCTATACAGCACTTAACAACAACAACAACAAAGGTCAGAAGTGAGGGTATTGTGCAAGATATCAAACTTACAGCTTGTATCCACCTATTTGACAGTCTGTCCTTTTAACTTGTGATATTCTGGCCTAGCTTCTGGTGGCTATGGTCAGAAAAAGAAGTGCCACATGGGTAGCTGATGTCAGAACTGAACAGAAAAGTAGGAAAGTGGAAATTTGATATTTAATCATTCTTATTCTTGTAAGTGGAGTCCTGGTGTAGCACTGGGGGTTAATATGCTGGACTACAAGTCAGTTTGAACAGCAATGTCGGCGGTTCAAGTTTACCAGCTGCTCCTAGGAAACCTTATACTACTAGGTCGCTGTGGGTCAGAACCGAAATGACGGCCCTTAACAACAGTCTTGTAAGTAACACAGTTTACACAACTAGTTCTCTAAATTTAAACCTTTGCTTTGTTTACAATTTTTTTACAATGATAACCATTTCTTGGAATGTATTACTAAAAGTGGACATGACAAATTTATATCCGTTTAAGAAAGTACTATCACCACCAAAGGGAAAAATCTATTAATCACCTTTTTCTTTTTTAGTTCTCGTGTCAGTCAAACAGGCTTTGGAACTCCCCAGAGCAACCAACCACCTTTGTCTTTCCGCTGCATTCACTGCTTTCATGTAGAAATGCTGCTCTCCTGGAATGATTAATTCCATTCTTGTATTGTCTGCTGAATGGACTGTAATGATGACAGAAAAATATAGTCACAGACATACGTAATTCAGGGAAATCAAAATATCAATCTTAACACAAGGTCTCAACACTTGATACAAAAACTATGCTTGGAGGCAGCCAGTTCCAATCCCTCAGGGGCAATCTTATAGCACCTTCCAAACCACCATTCTCACATATACTCTGGCTGGCTGTGATGCCAAACTTGTGGTGGAATATGAAGGAAAAAACCAGCAATGACTGAACTACTGAAAAGTGAAAACAAAGAGTTCTTTCCCACGGGAGACACCGGAATATGTGGGCTCTTAAATACATATATGGCCCTGGCACACTTATCACACACTATTTACTTGCTCCTCGAAAACAGACTCTACATTTCCAAGTCTAGGAAAGTATCTGACATACAGCACAGTAAATGGTAATGGACAGTCATCTTGCACTAGAACAGCTGTTGTTGCTACTAAGTGCCATCAAGTAAATTCTGACTCACAGTGACGCTATACAGGGTTTCTGAGGAGCAGCTGGTGGGTTTGAACCACCAACCTTGTGGTTCACAGTCCACTGCTGATCCTACAGTACCACAAGTAGTTCTCAATTAATGCAGTTTATCATAATCACCTGGAAGGAAAAATGCACATATTTTGGAGACTTTGCCCTCTTCCCCTCCTTCTAACTCCTCCCCTTAATACCTTGAAAAAAGAGAATTAAACAAGAATATTCACAGACAGTCCCAAATGTTTTAAGATTAAATTTGTAGGTGAGTGAGGGAATACAAGGTCAAGAGAGCACTCCCATCACAGATGCCTGATGGATCATCAGATCTCCGGATCAGCAGAGATAAAGATAGACGATGTTTAACAAAAAAGGGGGAGTAGTTAATCTTTCATTTCAGGAGCAGAGGACCATTAAGAGGGAAGAACACAAGCGGAGCATGGCATCCTAACCACAGAAGTAGCGATATGAGAGATGGAAACAGAGGTGAAGGCATAGAGAGACAAAGCAGCTGAGGACTCTAAACTCATGGAAAGAGAAAGGCTGTGTGCCAGTGGGCATGAGGCTGGCTTGCAAAATGTGCTCCATGATCATTTAAACGAATATATTTTTTCTTTTTGGTTTGTGTACATGAAAGAAAAAAAAGAGGGACTAGAGGCAAATACTGTTAATTGATGGTGCATAGAAGGGTTTATAATCACTGCTATGAAACAAAATACAATTGGTTGAATACAAAAGTGATGTTCTGTCCTGTAAACTATCACTCAATTCACAATAAAAGGTTTTAAAAAGATTAAATTTGTGTTACCCCACAAAAAAAAACAACCCTCTGTTGCTAAATCAATTCTGACTCATAGTGGCACTAAGGGACAGAGTAGAGGGTCCCATACCGTTTCCGAGGCTGTCTTCTTTACAGAAGCTGAGCAGCTAGCAGCTTCAAACTGCTAATCTCTGAAGTAGCTGTCAGGCACACAACTTTTGTGCCACCAATCCTCCTTAAATTTGTGCTACATCAATACTAATTACCCAGCATTTACTCAGCTCTGAGCAGTGCTAGTAGAGTAGAAGATCGAAGGGGAGAGAAATATAGTTTTTACTGACAATTTAATCAAAGAAACCAAATTAGCAAACCAAAAATAACCAACAAACTAAAATATTGAACTCTCTGGTACAGATTTCATTTGAAATTACAACTCACAAGAAGGTAAGAAGCAAGAAATAAAAGGCTTTAAGAAGAATCTGAAAGTAGGATTTGGTTAAGAGAAAGACTACAAAAAAAGTTATGAAGGGAAATAAAAAAACAAATGTGTTGAGAAAATAGGGAGACAAGCCTCAACAGAACCTTGTGACCTACTGTAGAATACAGGCAGTTCTAGGTTACAAATGAGATCAGCTCCTAAGTGTGAACCTGAATGTGTATGTGAACAGTTGTATATGATTTTTGGTAGTGGTGATTGTGTGCTACAGAGTGGGTTCTAGCTCACAGACATTTAAATCTTTATGGGAGCAGAAAGTATTATCTTTCTCCCACCAAATGGCTGATAGATTAGAACCGCTGACCTTGCAGTTAACAGTCCAGCATGTAACCCACAATGCTACCAGAGATTCTTTAGTGGCCAAGAACTTAAAGCTTTTTAACTTATTTCATGCTGCAGGCACAGGAAGTGAAAATGATTCAATGAGCCATTTGTTGTTACAATCCTCCTAAAGTGAGGGCAAATTTCTATACTATTAAAGGGCAAGTAGGAGCTATCCATTGTAGGCTAAGCACTGGACTGCTAACCACAAGGTTGGCAGTTCAAGCCACCAGCTGCTTCTCAGAAACCCTATACAGGGTTGCTATGAGTAGGAACCAACTTAACAACACATAACACAATAGAAGTTTCTCCATTATTTAAGTCGTAAGTCTGACAGTTCCAACCTGGGGGCTTTTGTTAATGATATTCAGGAATGGACAGGCTGTTGTTATTGTTGTTGTTATTATTAGGTGCCATCAGTTCTGATACACCGCAAAACTATGCACAACAGAACTAAACACTGCCCAGTCCTGTATCATCCTCACGATTGTTGCCATATTTGAAACCGACTGCTGCTGCCACTGTGTCAATCCATCTGGCTAGGGGGCCTTCTTTTTCACTGACCCTCCACTTTAACAAGCCTGATGTCCATTTCCAGGGAATGAGAGAGGAAATCTTGTCATTGGCTTCTAAGGAACATTCTGGCTATACTTCTTCCAAAACAGATGTGTTTGTTCTTCTGGAAGTCCATGGTATTTTTAATATTAGCCTTCAACACCATAATTCCAATGCATCGCTTCTTCTACAGTCTTCCTTATTCATTGTTCAACTTTCAAGTGCATAAGAGGCAAATGAAATACCATGGCTTGGGTCAGGCACACCTTAGTTCGCAAACTGGTATCTTTTTGCTCATTAACACTTTAAAGAGGTCTTGTGCAGCAGATTTGCCTCTTGTAATACATCATGTGATTTTTTGATGGCTGCTTCAAGAGTGTTGATTGCTGATCCAAGCAAAATGAAGTTTTTGACAACTTCAATCTGTTCTCTATTATCATAAAGTTATTTATTGGTCCAGTTCTGAGGATTTTTGTTTCCTTTACACTGAAGTGCAATCAATACAATGTTCCGCTACTCTCCAAACATTCAAAAGTAGTCCACCTCTCCTTCTTCCTAGTCTGTCTTAGTCTGGAAGCTCCATTGAAACTTGCTTACCACAGGTGATCCTGCTAGTATTTAAATACCAGTGGCATAGTTTCCAGCATCACAGCAACAGGCAAACCACCACAGTACAATCAACTGACAGATGAGTGGTGGACAGGCAAGGTAGAGCCAAATTATGAGTGGTTCAAGAAGTTCTAAATTAGACAATTAACTACTGAAATCAATGGCCAAGTGACTCAGGTATATTTGGTAGCTTCAACCAAGAGCTCACCATGTCAAAGGAACTACCTTTCATGAAGGAAAAGTATTCAAACTATAGAGAAACTAGACAGGTTGGAAGGATTTTAACATCCACACCTCTCATGACCTATCATCTTTAGAATTCAGTTTCCAACATTTACAATACCTTTCTACAATGAAAACAAAAGAGAACACTTATAGACTAGCATGAACTCTAATGTAGCATCACAAGAAACTGTAATTCAAATCCAAAGTGTAAGACTAGCACAAGTATTTTAAATTTCTATTCAAAGTACATTTATAGAGGGAGCAATAGCAAAAACAGTTTAACAATGCTAAATGTCTGTTTTCTGGTTACTGAGAAAATAAATGGTATTAGAGGATTCATAAACTTAGTTGCTGTTGTTGTTAAGTGCCGCCGAGTTGATTCTACTCATTGTTGTTAAGTGCTGTCGAGTCGGTTCCAACCCATAGTGACCCTGTATAGGGTTTCCGAGGAGCAGCTGATGAGCTTTAACTATCGACCTTGAAGTTCAAACAGCTTTGCAGTGTGGCACATTAACCCACAGTACCACACCAGGACTCCTCATAGTGACCCTGTATAGCGTTTCCAAGGAGCGGCTGGCAAGATTCAATCATTGACCTGTGGTTCAAATGACCTTTCAGTCCAATACTTGTCCAACCACACCAGGACTCCTAAACTTGGCTAGGAATGCTTTTATCTGTTGGCTGGAGTATAATATAGAACACACTTTACTATCTAACTTCAAATTCCTCTAATTTCATATATTCACTTACCTTTAATTTCACAAACTGCCATTTTTATACTTCCTTTACTTCCTTTGCAAACATCATCCTGTGAATCATAGTAGGATAGGATTCCATTATCTAAAACAAACCAACGAGGCTGCCAACCTACAAAGATCATAAATAGCAAAAGGTTAGTAAGGGAAGAAATGACTTTCACCACATAGAAAACTATGATTTCAAACCCTGCCATTCACACTATTTCCTGGCTCTAACGTAACATTCTGACAATGTTCAAGTCTTGCCCAAGTTGTGCTTGTTTCAATCCATACTTTGCTAGGAGAGATTTCTGAGGCAATCTCTAGATCAGCCAAAGTATAAGAAGTAATATCTGTATTTGGTTCACATGCTTCTCATTAACAGCCCATAAAGACCCTTCTATTGTCAATAATAGCCCTACACAGAGTACAGCATAACTAATGCTTTTTCCTAAAAGGAAACAGAATTGGGTTATAATGTAATAAAAAAAGCAACAGATGACACGGATTCTAACTCCAGTGTCATTCTTTCAGATTGTTATTGTTGTTGTTGTTAAGCACTGCTGAGTCCATTCCGACTCATAGCCACCCTTGTATAAGGTTGCTAAGGAGTGAGTGGCTGGTGAGTTTGAGCTGCTGACCTATGGTTCAAACAAACCTTGCGGTCCAGTGCTTTATCCCACAGTACTACAGATAACCTGGGGTAAATCTTTTCATTTCAAAAACCCTTTAAAATTTCTAGTTTCCAAAGAGTCAGCTGACCTATATGACTTCGCAGGTACCATCCACCTCTAATTTCAAAATGTACCCTTCTCTTCTTTTATAAAGCAAGTTCGCTAAGCAAACCCCACTGCATACAAGTGTTAAATGAATTCCAGTCTCTCTCACAGAAGCTGCAGGCACTGTGCTAAGAATGCGGAAGTCTTCCCCCTTCCCTTCTCTGTTTAAGGAGTTTTGGTAACTCCTGAGTTACAAGCTGAGCCGCTAGGTACAAGATCTGCAGTTTGAATCCACCAGCTGTTCCATGGCAGGGAGAGGAGGCTTTCTGCTCCCGTAAAGATTTTCAACCTCAAAACCAGCTACAGGGTCTCTGTGAGGTATACAACCACCCACACCATTACCCTTCTCTGCTGCTGAGCAGCTACAACAGAAGATGCTAGAAACTGCCATTTCTAATTCATTATCTATCCCATGACTAAAGCCCACAACTGCAGACTTGGTTCTAAGGCAAAGCAAGTAATAAGGATGATAGCCTCAATGTGCAAGTCCAACTCCCCTTAGAGACCAAACTCAGCACACGTTACTAATCTGCAATAGTTCTCCAACACAATTACCAAGCTAGAGGCAGTGTGACTATCTTTGCTGTTTATGTGACTATTAAATCGCAATTGAGCACAAATGCTCTGGACTAACATATACCACTTTTTAGACCACAGGTGTTCAAATTCTAGTTATTTGGCCCATAGATTACTCTACCACTCCTGCTGGGGTGTTGCAGGATCAGCACTGGACTGGGAACCACAAGGTCGGCAGTTCAAACCCACCAGCCACTCCTTGGGAACCCTATACAGGGTCGCTATGAGAAGGAACCAACTTGATGGCACTTAACAACAACTCTATCATTAATCAATTCCATTTTTCCTGGACCAGATATCACCTAAAATAGTCGTACAAAGGAAAAGTATCCTTATCCTTCGATATAGACCCCAGAATTACTTGTCCAAAAGGCTTCACCTATTTTACTTTAGAAATGGCAATGCTGAGTTACCACAAAAAAGGTTATGACTGCACGCTGTATATCCTGTTTAAGAAAGCAGGGAATGTCATAATACAGTTAAGAAAGATGGATATGCAAAATAATTAAAAACAAGTTTCAGATGCCTAGAAAATTCATTAAGAAACACTATAGTCTACAATGATATGTAGCAGATTAGAAAGTGAGTTCTTTATGGACATCACATTTATCTTGTTCATCACTCCATTCCCAGCCATCTAAAATGATGCCTAGCACACAGCAGGTGCTAAGTATTTCTTGAGTGATTAAACAAATAAATGAATGGGTGGATGAATAGATAGATACCAGAAAAGTGAGATATCACATGTCATCATGAGAGTACACAGATGCAGCATGGATCCATGAGAGTATACTACATCCAGTATGGACAACAAGGATGTGAACATCATCTTTCAATCAGCCATTCACCTTGGCTAACAAACTATGGAGTAGGGGAAGGAGGGGGGAAAACACACCCCTCCAACCCAAGTCCAGTATGCTTATAGGACAAATTGTGATTTTGCCAGTCTATATATTGTAACTAGCTGTTGTTGTTGTTGTTGTTAAGTGCCATGGAGTTGGTCCCGACTCATAGCAACCCTGTACAGGGTTTCCGAGGCTGTAAATCTTTACGGGAGCAGAAAGCCTCATCTTTCTTCCGCGGAACAGCTGGTAGTTTCGAACTGCTGGCCTTGCGGTTCGCAGCCCGGTTCGTAACCACTACGCAACTAGATATTTCCTGAAAACAAGCATTGCGTAAAATGATTGATTCATTTAGAATATATAGCAACTTAAAAGGTAACCATGGTTGTGGTGATAAAAATTTTGAAAACAGGTGAGAATTGCATGATATGATGAACATAATTAATGTCCATGAATTGTACATTTAAACATGATTAAAATGGCAAAATTTTGTTATTTATATTTTAGTGTAACCATTTTTTAAAGATAACTATGATTGGAAATAGCAATCAAATTAAGTTTGTTAATTATCTCTACGTACTCTTTTGGAGAAATCTTTCATAAACAACCTCTAATTGATTCACACATTTATATAACACAGAGCTGATCCTGTAAAAATGATTCCCTAGGTAGTTCCTTCTTCATTTTTAAAAATTTTTATATTTTAGAAAACACAATCTTCTTACCTCCAACTACCAAAAGTTACTGAATCCTATTCTCTACAAATCATTATCAAACAGCACTGTCATTAAACTAGAAGGTTCCTTAAAGATCATTTAATATGAACAGCTGCTCCTCCTTCTGACCTAAGAGGAACTAAAATTATTAATCAGCATGCCACAGAAACAAAATGTAAAATTTTAAATGGATTTTTTCAAAACAAAACATTTTGTTTCAGAAGCTTCTACACCCCAAGCTATAGCAATGGCAAAGACTGAAACCTAAAAGCACATGTGGTTTAAAAGCTCACCCAGCTGAGACAATACCACAGGGCATGAGGAAATGTGCCACTAAGCCTACTTTTCATACCAGGTCTTACGATTATGACTCATCCCAAACCCCACTGCTCTGGGCTAAGCAAAGTGCTTCTAAGGCATTACCTCCTGAGACACTGGATTTAAGTTCGCTTAAGGATGATCATTTGCATCTCAAAGAATAGAAACTATTATCTGAAAGTTTAACACCATAACTCAACTAAACAGTATAAACCTTCTCACAATTATTCAAATGAAAATGCTAAATTTAAAAAATCATTATTTCCCTCACTTAAAAAGGTTTCCTGTTGACTGGGGGGCGGGGGTGGGGGGTAGCGGGTGGCAAGATGGCAGAGTAGGCAGACTTAGTGAGCATGAGCAGACCACGGAACAAAGATATGGTAGAAAGCAAGTAAAACAGATATAAATGCTGATTCTGGAACCCTGAGCTTCAAAGGATAGGTCAGAGAGGTGGACTGAGTGTCAACTGGAAGAACTTAGCTCATCAGAAGAGTGAGAGGGGAAAGAAAATAATAAAAATGGGTGCACAGTCAGGTGGTGTGGTGCCGCGCCAGCCATCTTGAAATTTTGCAAATGGCTGTTGATACAGTGGCATCCGAGTGCAGGATGAGGCTGAAGGATGGAGGCAAGGGGGATGTGGTTTTCCCTTATTCCATACCCTCCCACACCCAGTAGCCAGCCAGCCATGCCCAACCCCTGCCCTCACCAAGCCCTCCTGTATGCAGCATCTGCTCTGTCTGGGGTTGGGCACCTAGAGTGCCATCCCTGCTTCTGAAGGCAAACCACCCTGAACACAAACAGTGAGCAGAGAACTGCATTCACACTTCCAGTCACTCACATGCACCAGGAAACAGGTGGAGAGTGCCTAAGGACACACCAACATACAATCATCAATTAAATATAAATACACAGCACTACATTTTGTCTCAGAGAAAACCATTTCCGCTTCATGAAGCTACAAGACAGAGTGTCTCAAACAAGAGACCAAAATGCACAGAAATTCTAACATTAGAAATAATATCAGAACTACTTGGTAAGAAATTTAAAAAATATTTAGGTACCTTCACTGGATTAAGAGCAAAACAGAAAAAACTTTAGAATAATTCAAGAAAACACTGCATGAACTGACAAAAGAAATGAAAAATTGGAAACCATACAAAAACAGTAATTAGAAAGCTAGATGATTGATTAATAGTAAGAATTCAGAAACAGTACACTGAAAGATCAAAAAAGTAGAGCTAAATCAATGGAAGGCCAAATTACTGAGCTTGAAGACAAATCTAGAGGAACAATCAGAAAAAAAATTTTTTAAGTTCAAAGAAAGACTAAGATTTACATGAGGCACTCTCAAGAGGTATAATTTTTCAGTAATTGGAGGAATTCAGGAACAGGAAGAGGCCAAAAAAAAAAAACCCACAGGAAAATATTGTCCAAGAATTGCTGTAAGAAAACTTCCCTGATATCAAGAAAGATGAGAAGATAGTCATTTAGGTTCAACAAACTCCAAACAGGATAGACCCTAAAAGAAAATCACCAAGACATGTATATTATAATCAAAATTTTCAAAACCAAAGAAAAGAAAAGAATCCTGAAAGCAGTCCTGAAAAACAAAGTTACCCACAAAGGAAAACTAATAAGATTAAACTCTGATTTCTCAGCCAGAAACCTTGCAGACAGGAAGACAATGGAATGGCATGTATGAAACTCTGAAAGAAAAAAAGTGCCAACAAAGAATCATGCCCAGCAAAGCTGTTCATCAAATATGATGGCAAAATTTGGACATTGCCAAATAAACAGAAATTAAAAGAATCTGCAAAAACCTTACAACAAAATACTAGACCAAACTTACAAAAATATGCTAAGGGGAGGGGGGGGGAGTCTATGGACAAAGAACCAGCAATACCGGACAACATATATGAATATATGATAATATCACTCAGAAGTATTCAAAGTAAAACAGACCTACAAGACTGAAGACCTAACCAGAGATTCCAGTTTGCAACAACAAAAAACAAAGTAAAAAAGAGGACATACTGTAGTTACAGAACTTCCAAATGAAGAGGAAATCACGTCAATTTCAAGGAAAAAAATCAAAATAAACCTAACTGTAACCTTAAAACTATAATACGCACTGGACTTGCCAACCACAAGGTCAGAGGTTTGAGCCTACCAATTGCTCTACTGAAAAAAGATGAGACTTTTCAATCCCTCGAACATTTAAAAGCCTAAGAAACCCTATAAGGGCTTGCTATGAGTTGGAACTGACTCAAAGGCACTAACATCATCAATAAAGCCTAACACTAGAGAAAGTCTAACAACTAGCGCTATCTCAACCTCTACCCCTAACACTAACCCTAGTCATAACACTACAAGAAGTCCTAGCTGGGTCTAGCCTTTACCCAGCCATAGTCCTAACCCTAACTCCTATCCTGTCCCCCTCCAAAAAAACCACAGTGGAATTTTTCCATGAACTTTTAGAAGTCCCCTTGTATTTATTTAAACGTTTTTAGCTGTTTCCAACTAAATTCTATTTTCCAATTATGTAACAAAAGTTATCTGGGGGAAAAAAAGGTTTCCTGTTAAAACATGTCATTTATATACAAGTAAATTGTTTGAATTTTTATGTAAGCAAAAAAACATATCCATGACCTGTGCTGCTATAAATCTTTTTTGAAAAACAGGGCAACAGTGACCATCCTCAAAAGGAAGGGCACAAGGTCAGGTCACTAGTTGAATGTACCACAAAATTACTAAGAGGTTCATACCTTTAGCAGAGAATGATCCGCAGATCGAGATTTATTTTGCTGGGCCAAGAAATCTGTTTGCTATTTAAATTCATTTTAAACTCATTCCCCCTTCCTCTAATTTGGTGAGACCATAGAATTCTAGAGTTGGAAGGCATCTTAAGGATAACTAGTTGACCACATTGACCTTAAAAGACAGATCCTCTGAAATAAATAAGTGACTCGCCTTTACTGCTGGCTGAAGGCCAGGATAGAACTAGCACTCAGACCTAAAGCATTTTTAATGTTAATGCTATCACGGCCAGGCGTCCTTCCCTTCAAGCTCTCATTTCTACAGAAACAAGTAACTCTTTGGAGTTCTTCCTTCCAACCCACCAAACTTTGGTGCACGTACCGCACTTTCTCCCACGATTTCTCACCATTTACCTGAATTCCAAACCATAAGGATACCTCACTGACAATCAAAAGAACATTATCTAGGGGCAGCTTCCAAAACTATGAATACCAAGTTCTAACAGCTTCACCAAATGACGTTTTAAACATTATGTTGCTAAAGAACTTAAGAGATATATACAGATTTCTTCAAATAAAACCTGATCTTAAAGGGTCCAGTCCAGTCCAATACTCCGACAAAATGCAGATCATTAAGTGTAAATAAAAAAAGAGATTGAAACGACACAAGTACGGTGACTGGGAATTGTTCCGGAAGCTACAGGAGACAAACAGAAGTATTTTCACAAATGCCCAGAAGTGAGCAGGTGCACTTCCCACCATCGGGAAGGTACGCAGTCCCGAACTCTCCCCCGCAAAGGCCATTTAGGCTCTACCAGGAACAGAGAAGGATTAAGCCGAACACCAGGTAGAGCCCATTCGCTTTGAGTCTTACCGCCTAAGCTCGCCCAAGCCACTCGCCTCTCGCCGTTGCCCCCAGTTGCACCCGAGTCCACATACCTGTGAGATAATTGGTCCACTTGTACAGAACCCCCTCCATCCTTCAGAGCCCCGCGCCGCGCATCCTCCTGGCCCGGCGTCGGCCCCGGTGATGGGGAAGGCGCGGAGCGTACGGCGAGCGCGGAGCAGCCCCTCCCGGCTCCCTCGGGCCCCTCTCCGGGTGCCCCCCGCCGGCACCTAGCCGCCCCGAGTCCGTCCGCACCACAGGGACGTGGCGGCCCTTAGAGGCCGAGCTGGCAAGCGTCGCGGGAAGCTCGGGAGCCGCTAGGAGCGGGCTCGGGCATCCCCAGGTGAGGCGTAGTAGCCGCAGTTGTAAGAGCACTGCCGCGACTAGCCTCCCGCTAGCTCTTCCGCGGCCCGGCGAGCCCTCCTCCTTGCCTGTCTACCTTCCTACCCCCCGCCCCCCGCCCCCAGGCGCCCCGTTTGTTTTCATTGACCCCGACGTCGCTTTCACTTCCTGGATAAAAGGGGCAGGCTCGTCCCGGGAAACCCCTCCCCGGCGGCGGAGCTGAAGGAGCGGGCGCGGCCTAAAGGCCCTGCTGAGGCGCGGGAGGCAACTCGAGAAGGTCGGGCTGGCGCGGCGCATCCTCAGCCTCCCTGTCAGTGCACCTTCCCTCCTCCTGCTGCTTCCTCAGGCCTTTGACCGATGGTCGGGGCTCCCCGGTCTCTGAGGTCCGGGTCGGCCCGTCTCCGAAGCCAACGACTCTGGACCCATGACAGACCAACTTGGATCCTGCTGCGCGCGCACTTCAGGGATACCGGAGCTCCGCACGCCCTGATCCCGCTGGCAGTGATTTAAACCCTTCGGGTTTTCATATAACTGTGCCTCAGGTCCTTTCGGTGCTTGTTTTCCCTCAAGAAAATGACTTCCTAGTTCTGTTTCCTTCTTACCCTGCTTCTCACAGCTCGGGAACCAACAAGTTATTTCCTACTCCTCCAGCATAAAACGGGAAGAGGCCCCAAGGAATTGTAACCTGGAATACTACAATTTCATTTAGAATATAAAACACAACTAAATTTAATGTTTTTATTTTATTCTAAAAATGGGAGCATCCCCTCTAGCTTTTACAATTTTTTAAAATCCTGGTTGGAAGTGGTACTCATCTTGTGTTGTTGTTGTTATGTGCCATCGAGTCGTTTCCGACCCATAGCGACCCTGTATAGGGTTTCCGAGGGTGTAAATCTTTACGGGAGTAGAAAGCCTCATCTTTCTCCCGCGGAGCAGCTGGTAGTTTCGAACCGCTGACCTTAATGTTCGCAGCCCGATTCGTAACCACTATGCTACCAGAGTTGACAATAATTCTCAGATTTGTGGCATTTGTAAACTTTAAATTAAAACAGAGTCGGCCCACCTTCCCTCCCAGGAGCTAATCCTGGCCTTTGCGGAGGCTTTAGGATTTAGGGTTAAAAGTCTTTGTACTAGGAAATAAAGTGGGCAGATAAATACGTAATAAATCTAGGTTATGGGTTTACTAGCCATCACTATCAACCAGAAACAATCATAACCAGTGTAGACCAGCTCCAGGTCCTTCCATCTAGAAACCTTATTAAACTAGTATTTTACAAATCCGCATCCTCCTGAGACTCCAAGGTAGTAAAACCAAGACCCTTTGAACCTATTAAAAAATGAAAGAAAGTACTTAAGCAATCACAAACTTGTCTCCTCACCGCCCCCCCCACCCGCAAAAAAAAAAAAAAAAACTCCCAACAAAGGACCCACGCCTAAAACCTATCCTTTTCCAACTCCCTCAAAGCTTCATATATCAGAATCCTCTGTTATCTCCTCTTGCCAGGCTTTGTTGCTGCAGCAATTTGGTTAATCCCAAATAAAATATTTAACATTTTTATGATTCCAGAATCTGTCATTTAACAACCTTTCAACTTTTCTTCAATATTTGACTAAAATGTGGAGAGAGAGGGTTATTATCTGTGAGACTGGACCAAAATGCCCCAATACTCTACCGCACTTCCTGATCTGTGTTATATGGATAATTACCTATCTCAAAGTGACAATGTCAAGAGTTTTCCTTGTCCCATTATTGTAAGGTGCCAGCAGGTGAATGTCCACTCATAGGGACACTTTGTGACAGAGTAGAACGGCCCCACAGAGTTTTCTAGACTGTAATCTCTACGGATTTCTGGTGTGGGGCTGTGGATTAGTACTGGATTATGAACCAAAACATTGGTGGTTCAAACCCACGAGGAGCTGCTCCTTGGAAACCCTATATAGGGTCATTATGACTAGGAACCGAGTAGACAGCGCTTAGCAGCAATCTCTAAGGGAGAAGATTGCCAGGACTTTCCACTCAGACAATGGGTGGGTTCTAACCACTAATCTTTTTTATTTTTTAACTTGTTTTTAAACTGTGTGTATGTGTGTGTGTGTGTGAACTAAATGATAGTTTACATGGGAAAACAGCTTTATACCATTGTTTCATTGCAATGATTACAATCTCAGTGCGTCATCTATCATTCAACAATATTTGCTTCCATTCCCTGATTTTTTTTTGGGGGGGGGGGCTGGGGAGGGGATGTACACAAAAACACTAGGAATATATAATAATTTAAACAACCAAAGGGCACATTATGCAAGCCTGCCTCCTGGCCAGGAGCTCTCAGTCCCTCTCTTTCCATGAGTCTAGAATCCTCAATTGTTCCCTTTCTCCATGTCCCCATTTCTGGTGTGTCTGCTTCTCTGGATAGGGTCCCACATTCTGCTTGTGCTCTTCTCCCTTGATGGTCCTAGGGTCCTCTGTTTCTGGTCTGTTAGATTAACTACGCTCCCATTTTTCTAACCAGTAATCTTCCGTTCGGGTGTAGTGCTGTGGGTTAATGCGCCAGACTGCAAAGCCATTTGAACTGCAAGGTTGGCAGTTCAAGCTCACCAGCAGCTCCTTGGAAACCCTATACAGGGTCGCTATGGGTCGGAACTGACTCGACGGCACACAACAACAACGATCTTTTAACAGCAGAGCATTTAACTGTTAAAACATCAGGGAAGGTCTTCAAATCAAAAATAGATCCAATCAGGTGGAGAATGGAAATGTAAACCAGCATTACATTGTTTGTTGGAAAACACCTTTAACAAGGCAGTGGAGTAGAGAGACCCCTCAGTGTTAAATAGCATCGGAGTGGCCTTCGGGTTGTGTGTGGCTCAGTGTGGAACCGCTTAATTCACGACTCTGACCTTGAAAATGCGTTTCAGGGACTTCCCTAAAGCTCTAATATAGCCACAAGACTACAAGCCCTGGATTGCTAACCAAAAGGTCAGCGGGTCAAACCAACCAGCCTTTCCTCGGAAACCTATGGAGTCACCGTAAATTGGAACTGACTTGATGGCACTTAAACACCGAGAAAAGGCTGTAAAAATATGCACACTTAGCGAGGAGAAAGCTCCAAGTGTGCAGTGCTGCCTTAATGACGAAAACCGGTGCCAGGATAAGGCCTAGCCAGCACCTAGAAGAGACTTCTCTGAAGAACAACCGATTACCCTCACTTCCGCACAAATTCTGCTGCTCGGTTCACGGCCGGAGGTGGGGCCTGAGTGGGGCGGAGCCACCGGACCGCCCCACCTCCAGGTTTTTGTGTCGCAGGACAATGCCTGCCACGTGTCGGAACTCGGCTGCCTGGACCGCCACGGGGCGCAAGTGACACACCAGAAGCTGCACGGCGGACATCTCTAAGCCAACGTCAGGAACCATGCATTTTTCACTCAGTTTCGTCCTTGTCTTTTACAGTTGGAGCTTTTTCACTATTCTGGGGCTAAAGAAAGCGCAGGGCGTAGACGAAGTGAAAATAGAAGTTTTGTATCGTCCAGAAAACTGCTCTAAAACAAGCAAAAAGGGCGACCTGCTAAATGCCCATTACGACGGCTACTTGGCCGAAGACGGCTTGAAATTCTACTGCAGGTAGGAAAAGCTGCGAACTACCGCAGGCTAATTGATGCTAATTGATGAAATCTATAGCCTCCCTCCCTCAGCCGGAAACGAATTGGTTGTTTGGGGTTTTAGTTTGAGAATTGAGCCTTTTCTTCCTAGGAAAAGAGAGTTGATACGGTCGTTTTTAAACTAAATACAACTCTAAAACTTAACTTACTGAAAATATTGAGCCAAGAAATTTTCAGCTTCCCCACATAACTCCCCGATCCCACCTCCACTACTTTTGGGATTCATAGAACTCCATCTGGGTACTTTAACTTTGCTGCGGATTGATCTATATCCTTACAAAGAATTACATAGAGTAGTTTAAGAGCTATCTCTAGATTTTATTCTGACCTTCAGAAAAAAAGAGTCTGGGGCCACTTTCTGTGCCAAGCAGCTAAGACAACACTGGCCTTCCCTGGTGGTTTGTGCTGGACACTGTGTTCTTCCTACCTGCTCAGACCTGCCTACTCTGACCTGGTTTATTATTCAAAGAGATGGTTTTCACCTTTACTGTATAGCCTATACAGGGTCGGTATGAGTTGGAACCGACTTGACACTTAACAATAATATAGCCTATGAAGACAGGATTGAGGAAAGTTAGTTCTTCCCATTTAGAAGAAAATAAAAAGTGTCTTAAGTCATTTTGAATTAAACCGTGTGATCACTTTTTAGAACAAAGTTGTTGTTAAGTGCCGTCAAGTCGGTTCCGACCCACAGCAACCCTGTAAAGGGTTTCGGAGGAGCAGCTGGTGAGTTTGAACCACCGCCCTTGAGGTTCAAACCGACTTTGCTCATTAACCCACAGCGGCCACACCAGGACTGAGGTTAAAGGATTTATACAATGGGCCTTAAAGACCCATTTAAAAATTAACTGGAATAATGTTTGTAAAGGCAGTAAAAAAGAACATGCGAAGATTTCTGATGGCTGTTGTTGTTAAGTGCTGTGGAGTCGGTTCCAACCCATAGCAACCCTGTATAGGGTTTCCTAGGAGCAGCTGGTGGGTTTGAACCACCAACCTTGTGGTTCAAACGACTTTGCAGTCCAGTGCATTAACCCACAGTGACTGGCTACTAATGAGGGATATTTGAGCCTAACATCCCATAAGAGGTTCAGAATGAATGTTAACATGGAGAAAGGATAGTTAGAGAGGACTCTGAATTTAAATTATAACTAAATGCCCAGCTTGGTGTTAATTTTTATTTCATTTTTCTTTAAGTCATTTTACTAAGATAATATTTTTTTATTACAGCCGGACACAAAATGAAGGCCACCCAAAATGGTTTGTTCTGGGTGTTGGGCAAGTAATAAAAGGACTAGACATTGCTATGATGAATATGTGCCCTGGAGAGAAGCGAAAAGTAATTATACCCCCATCATTGGCATATGGAAATGAAGGCTATGGTAAGGTGTTTTAATATTTGGTTCTCTTTTTTGTTATGTTTAAAAATGAAGAGAATATAAGGAGCCTGGTAGTGTAGTGGGTTAAACACTGGGCTACTACTAACCTCAGGTTTGTGGTTCTAGCCCACTAGCTGCTCTATGGGAGAAAAATGAACTTAAATGCACCCATAAAGATTTACTGTCTCAGAAACCCTATGGAGCAGTTCCAAAGGAAACAGTCATAGAAGTGCAAGGTGGGTGGGAGAGGCTTCAAAAAGGTTTTGGAAAATTCCATTATCTTCTAATTCCATTTTTTCCACAAACTTTGTTAAGCCCCCTTGGATAAGGCCCAACAAACATTACCTGTATCTAGTTTTTTTACCAATTCCATCAGGTCAGTTCTTACTCGTGTGGTAGAGCTGTGGTCCATGTGGTTTTCAATGAGTGATTTTTCGTAAGAAGATTACCAGGACTATCTATCTTCCAAGTTGCCTCTGAGTGGACTCAAACCACCATCCTTTCAGTTAGCCAAGCTTGCTAGCCATTTCCACTACCCTGAGACTCCATGTCTAGGTTAGCCCCCTTTTTATGGACTTCTGGTGTGGTGCTGTAGGATAAGCACTGGACTGCTAACCACAAAGTTGACAGTTTAAACCCACCAACTGCTCCTTGGAAACCCTATATGATTTGGAATAAACTTGATGGCATTGGATTTGTTTTTTTATTTTTTTACATCTGAAGAAAGAAAATAGATCTGGAATCCAGATCTGTGGCCCGAGTTCTTTCCCTCACATAATGGCAGCACTCCTTAATCCGTCTATTCTGAAAGCTCTACCATAGACATTTTAGTTTTCAGTGTGTTATATTAACATATATTATAGCACATTTTTCCAGTAGTTCTTGTTAGGTGCCAATGAATTATTTCTGACTCAGTGATCTCATGCAGAACGAAACACTGCCAGGTCCTGCACCATCCTAACGATTGTTAGTTTAAGTCTATTGTTGCTACCACTGTCGATCCATCTTGTTGGGGTCTTCCTTTTTTTTCGCTGACCCTCCACTTTTCTAAGAATGATGTCCTCCAGGGACTTGGTCCCTCTTGACAACATTTCCAGCATACGAAAAGAAGTCTCACCATCCTTCTAAGAAACATTCTGACTATACTTCTTCCAACACAGATTTGTTTATTCTTCTAGAAGTCTGATGTACTTTCAATATTCTTCAACACCATAATTCAAATGCATAGATTCTTCTTGTTGTTAAGTGCCATTGTGTTAGTTGCGACTCATAGTGACCCTGTATAGGGCTTCTGAGAAGCAGCAGGTGGGTTCAAACTGTTGACCTTGTGATTTGTAGTCCAGTGCTGATCCTACAGCATCGTTGACTTTCACAAACATATGAGACAATTGAAAATACCAAGGCTTAGGTCTGGCACACTTTAGTCTTCAAAGTGACATGTTTGCTCTTTTAACACTTCAGGGAGGTCTTTGAAGCAGATTTGCCTAATGCAGTGCTTTGTTGTTTGATCTCTCAAGTAAGCAGCATTACACAAATCTGCTGCACAAGATTTCTTTACAGTGTTCAAGAGCAAGATAGCAGTTTGAGGACTAAGGTACACCTCAGCCAAGTCGTGGTATTTTCAATAGCCTCATATGCATGTGAAAGTTGGGCAATAAATATGGAAGATCATAGAAGAATTGATACATTTGAGTTATAGTGTTTGAGAAGAATACTAAAAACACTATAGACTGCCAGAAGCAAAAACACATCTGTGTTGGAAGAAGTATACAGCCCGAGTACGCCTTAGAAGCAAGAATGGCGAGACTTTATCTCTCATGCTTTTCACATATTATCAGTTGCTGGAGAAGGACATTATGCTTGGTAAAGTAGAGGATCAGTGAAGAGGAAGAGTCCCCAAACAAGATGGATAAGCACACAGTGACAGCAGCAATGGACTCAAGCATAATAATGATTTTGAAGATGGCTCAAGACTCGTTCTGTGTGCATAGGATCTCTGTGAATTCGGGGTTGGCTCAATGGTACTGAACAATAGTTGTTGTTAAGTGCCATTGAGTTGATTCCGACCCATAGCGACCCTGTATAGGATTTCCGAGGAGCTTGAACTGCCAACCTTGCAGTTCAAACAGCTTTGCAGGCTGGCGCATTAACCCACAGTGCCACACATAGCCCTAAAACGCACTGCCATTGAACACAATTCCTAGTGACCCTGTAGGATGGAGTTGAACTATCTCATAGTGTTTCCAAGATTGTAAATCTATACAGAGCAAACAATCCTGTCTTTCTCCCTTAGAATGGCTGGTAGGTTCAAACCACCAGCCTTTGGTTGGCAGTTGAGCATTTAACCACCATGCTACCAGTGTTCCTCCTTAAAGATACTATGGAAACCCTTATGGGGCAGTTGTATTTTGTCCTATAGGTCACTATCGCATCAGTATGAGTTGAAATGGTAGAATAAGAAGATCTGAAAAGTTAGGGGAAGCAGATAAACGGGAGGGGGGGAGTGTATTTACACTTTATACTAAGACTAAAAAATTCAGTGGTAAAAAATGGCCTATCCTTAGAAATGGATAATCACTGGACTGCTAACCACAAGGCTGGCAATTCATACCCATCAGGCTCTCAGTGTGAGAAAGATGAGGCTTAGTTTCATAAGGATTTACAGCTTCAGAAATGCTATACAGGGTTGTTATGGGTGAGAATTGACTCAATGGCTTTGGGTTTAGTTTAGTGTGATCTGTGATGCTGTGGTTGACCATCAGGCTGTTACCAGTAAGGTCACTGGTTCAAACCCACCAGTTGTTTTATGGAAGAAAGATGAGACTATCTGCTACCATAAAGATTTATAGACTTGGAAACTATAAGGAGCAGTTCTAGTCTTTCCTGTAGGGTTACTGTGGGTCAGAATCCCCTTAATGTCATTGGGCTTGGTATACCTAGAAATAGACAAAGTTCTTACACAGACAGGCCATTGACTACAGTATCTATATGTGTGTGTACATATATAAAATATATATACATACACACAAATATACAAATGGCCTTTATACTTTATATATATATATATGAGGATTCTTAATTTTGTTCCAAATTAAAGAGAAATGAAAGCAAAAATGAGATACTTTTTTTATCTCAATTAGCCAAGATAAAAAAGTAGATTATGCGTTATGTGGAAAATGGGTTGGAAAAGTCAGCAGTCTCATGCACTGTGACAAGGTATGTAAATTCGTTCAACCTCTTTAGCAGTTTATCAGTGTGTCTTAGCTATATTGAAATATCACGTATTTATTTTTAATGAATCGCTGAATGTAATACTAAGAGTTCTTGAAGCTTTTCTACTTCCACACCTTCATTTTACACATGAGGAAACTGAGGCCCAAAAAGTTCAGTGTGTTCAATGGACTTTATTTCATCAGATAACTAGCCTGTCTGCATTGTAATAATCTGGGTTAGATTATTGTTAAAGTTGCAGTGTAGCTGTTCTGTAGCTATTTAGCAACCTCATGATTGAATAAGCTGTTTTAAGTTACTAATAGCTAACATTGGCTGTAACTTTATTTTAGGCAATACTTGAAGAAGTCTTTCCTCTGTGCAGCATCCTTGCCTCATTTCACAGAACATCCCTGCATGTCTTGAAATGCATGTGACTTTTTAGTGCTTTAATTAACTCTTCATGTGGTATGTATAGATTCTTTACATTGACACCTACTTGGATCTGCCTTTTTTTACAAGTGAGAAAAACAACAAATTGGCAATATTTCCTATGTCGACAGTAGAATTGGAGTCCTGGCGTGGTGCTGTAAAATAAGCACTGGATTGTTAACCACAAGGTTGGCGGTTCAGCCTCACCCACCAGCTGCTCCTCAGTAAACCCTGTAAAAGGTCGCTATGAGTCACAATAGACTCCTTAACAACAACAAACAAAATAGTAGAATTGTTCAGAAACTTATGTACCTGTAATATTTTTTCTTAAGACATTTGAATTTGTGATCATTAATGAAAATCAATTTCTTCTGTCATAATAAGATCATATCTGGACAGAATAGGAATGGATTTTTAAAAAAGGATCAATAAATCCATCTCTAGCTCTTTTACTGTAAGGTCACATATGCTTTGCATTTAGGTTAAGGCTTGCACATTAACCTAATGGTGCATGAATAGATAGTCTCATCCTAGCTTGGAAGAATACAGATCCACTTCACTTGACTCTAAAGCTCTAAAGCTTCTTTTTTTTTTCTTTCTCTTTAGAGTACAAATATTTTAGCAAGAGTTTCCCACATTTTCATTAAAGAAATTGCTGTTTTCTTCAAAGGACACCCAGCTGTCTTTTTTTTTTAAATAAGCAACAGAGGTAATTCATTCAACAAATATTTGAACATCTGTAATGATCCCCAGGTACTGTGTGAGACCCTAGGGATACACCTAGGCCACCACCTTTCTGTTGGTCATTTCTGCCACTCACTTTTATGAAACATTCATCTGAAATAGCTTATAGAACAGACTTACAGTCTCAGAAACCCTCTATAGGGTCACTATAAGTCGTTATGAATCAGAATCTACTTGATGGCAGTGGGCTTAGTTTTGGGTTAGATACATAAGTAAATATGCATGCTAAATTGGTGAGGGAGGTCATATAGGAGTACACTTACAAAGACATATAGGTATGATTTGTGGATATTTCTATATGTTGTTAGGGGCCATCTGTACCGACTCATAGCGACCTTATGCACAGCAGAACCAAAGACTGCCCAGTCCTGGGCCAACCTCACAATTGTTGCCACGCTTGAGCCCATTGATGTGGCCACTTGGCCAATCTATCTCGCTGGGGTTCTTTCTCTTTTTCTCTGACCCTCCACCTTACCGAACATGATATCCTTCTCCAGTGACTGGTCCCTCCTGACAATATGTCCGGAATATGAGAGAGGAAGTTTGGCTGTCCCGAACTCCAAGGAGCACTCTGGCTGCACTTCTTCCAACACAGATCTGTTGGTTCTTTTGTCAGCCTATGGCACTTTCAATATTCTCTAACATCATAACTCAAAAGCATCAATTCTTCTACAGTCATCACATTTGTAAATGCTGTATATAAACTCATTTAGTAGATGACAGTAGGGGGCACAGTTACTCAAACTAAAGACTGTTTTTATGACAGAACTGAACTACTGGACTTGAAGGCTAAGGATGGTAGTCTCTGGGGATATCTAGATCAATTGACAAGTAAGTCATAGTCCATAAGGATACTGCTTTTCATCTTAGTCTGGTGAATAGCATCGGAGGTTTTAAAAAGTTTGTTAGTGGCCATCTAACCTCCTCTAACCTGAGCCAAAAAGAAACTAAGTGGTACCTGATTACCATGACCAGCCACACTTAACAGGACCATCACAGAAGGTCCTAATTGGAAATGGTAAAAATGTACAAATTCAAATTAAAAAGAAAAAAAATCAGAATTATTGTTCTAAAAGAGATTGGAGGAGCCCCTGAGACTTGCTTTAAGACAACCTTCTAACTTTAAACTCAGGATACTCCTGGAGGCTACCCTCAGCCAAATGAGATAGGGATGTATGCAAGCAAAGTAAAGCAGATTGAAAATGGAGAACCAACAACAAAAATACTGTAAAGTAAGAAGATGGACTAATGTAGTTACTGATTTCCAAATGAAGAGGAAATCAAATAGATAACAAGAAAAAAAATAAACATAACTAACTCTAAAAATAAGATCAAGCCTTATTCCTAGCCCTAGCCCCAACCCTTACCCTTAACACTAACCCTACCCCTAACCAGAACCCTAGCAATGAAGTCCTAGGCCTAGCCAAGGTCTCTCTATAATCCCAACCCTAAAAACTCGCACTCCTTATTCCTATCCCCTCACACACCCTCCCCACAAGGAGAAAACACAGAATTGCTATGAAATGGAATCAAGTCAATGGCAGTGTGTTTGAGTTTTAGTTTTTATAACTTTTATGAAAAAAATGTGACTAAAAATTATTTGAAAACCTTTACATTTTATATGAATATAAATACAAAAGGACTTCAAACAGTTGATGGAAAAATGTAATTAAAGGAAAATGGAGCATTTTTGAGTTCCCATGTTAAGTCAGTACTATTACAGTTGTTCATGCATGAATTAATGTTTGAACATTATCATCATGTAAGTTAAACTGCTAAAATGTCTACTCTTAGTGGAAGGCAAGATTCCACCTGATGCAACATTGATTTTTGAGATTGAACTTTATGCTGTGACCAAAGGACCACGGAGCATTGAAACATTTAAGCAAATAGATGTGGACAGTGACAGACATCTCTCTAAAGACGAGGTAATTCAACTTTAATTATGTACAACCTAATTTTTTCATCACAATTTAAATATATCTGTGTTATAACTAGAGTCCTGGTGTGGCACTGTAGGGTCACTGGACTGCTAGCTGCAAGGTCGGTAGTTCAAACCTACCAGCTGCTCCTTGGAAACCCTATACAGGGTTGCTTTGAGTCAGATCCAACTCAATGACACTCCTCAACAACAACAAAAGTGTTAAAACTGGAGTCCTGGTGTGGTGCAGTAAGAAAGGCGTTGGACTGCTAACCACAGGGTCAGTGGTTCAAATTCACCAGCTGCTGCTTGGAAACCCTATACAGCTTTCTCACTATGAGTCAGAACTGACTCCACAGCACTTAATAACTAACAACAACATGTTGGAACTAAGGAACTCTGGTGGCACAGTGGTTAAGAGCTTGACTACTAACCAGAAGGTGAGTGTTCCCAGTGCTCCCCAAGAGGAAGGTGTGACATGTCTTCAGTAAAGGTTACAGCCTTAGAACTATGGAGCAGTTCTACTCTGCCTTACACAGTTACTGTGAGTTGGAATTGACTCAGTTAGAATGAGTTTCATTTTGGGTTTAAGTTTTAACTATTACTTTTTTAGTTTTAGGCTCTGATCACCTTACTTTTTGCAAAACTGGTTCCTAAAAATCTAAGCTCTGAGCAGATATAAAATCTGTTAGTGGCTCATTCCTGTTCAGTCACCTTTCTTCCTGGAAGAAATAACAGTTGCTGTCAAGTCAATTCCAATTCCTGGTGACCCATGTGTATCACTTAAACTGTAGCAGAAGCTGTTGGTGAAAAAGGACAAATTGTATCTGAGGTATAATTTCTACCACTAAACAAATATGCATTTAGCGTGATTATTTTTGAGGACAAGGGTTAAAATGGGGATGGCAACCTAGTTTCAACTCTTATGCCAACTCCAACAAATTGGCTGCTAGGAGTGCTGTGTTCAGGATTCTCTGCAAGTTCAGTAGGCTCTTTTTTTTTTTTTTAAATCAGTTAGCGATCCTAGCCATAAAAATGGGAAATAAAGAGGGGGTGGCATAGGGTTATATATTTGTCAACCTTGCTTTAAAGTAAAGACTTTCTTTTTATTAATATTATGTAAGCTGAGTGTAACACATCTTTAATGAAATGTCATACAATCTTTCACAGATTTGACCTTTCAAAACATTAGTTAATAGACAAGTATTTTTCTATGAACATTTTGAAGCTCCTTCATAGTTCCACTGATTACACTGTGAAAATGGAGCACTGAACATCTGTCACCTCAGGACAGACTAACTGGAAGATCTTTTGGTCTTCGGGAAATTGTTCCAAAGATGAGAAAAATAAAACCTTGAAATAGCCTTGTAAAACTTAGTATCACTTTACAAATGCTTGGATATATAGGTTTCATTATGTAGACATTCCTCAATATTACTGAAAAATTATACCTTTTTATTAAATGTTATTTTTGGCTTTGGCTTTATAGATAAATCATTACTTGGAAAAGGAATTTGAAAAAGATGAGAAGCCACGTGACAAGTCCTATCAGAATGCAGTTTTAGAAGACATTTTCAAGAAGAATGACCATGATGGTGATGGCCTCATTTCCTCCAAGGAATACAATGTGTATCAACATGATGAGCTATAGCATCTTTTTGTCTCTGCGTTTTTTAAGCTACTTTCTATATATTATAAACCAGTCATTTTTCTGCAAGTCTTGTTTTCTATTTTCCCCTCATTAGAATATATTTTGTTCCCCTTCATTGCATGTAATTTTAATATAACAAACGTTGAGACTGTTTTGCAAATTTAACTTTCAGAAAGTGGTAATGATTGTTTCCTAGTGCTTCATTCTGGGAACGCAAATTGCAGCATCTTGAATATGTGGGCAATTTTTCCTTTTCAGAATGTAAGAGGACATATAGATCAAAATTTGTGAGCTCTTCTCAACTCGAACTTTAGCAGTAAATTGACTTATGTAAACATTTAATTTTATTATTTTAAATGTTAATAAAATGACTCATTTTTTAAATATTCATTAGGGACCTAAGAATGATTGTGTCACGTGCTTATATACTATTCATATCAGTACTGTTAGTAGGATATAAACAACATAGGACTAAAGAGCCTTTTTTTTTTTGTATGCATGTAGGGAAGATATTAACAGTCTATTCCCTAGAGAGTTTCAGCATTGTACTTTTTGATGCAAGCCTCTGGTCTTGAATAGTTCCAGTGGGAAATGCTTAAAGATGTTTGACCAGACTGAAGACTTTGTGCCTCCTTGTCATAAAAGAGGCACAAAATCTATACTGCTTTAGGTCTTATACTTCTGTGAACATTATTATAAATGCACTATTCCTCTTCCTTCCTGTAATCCTTGGTAAGCTACCTACCACCCATTTGTAATGATAGCAAATCCCACAGCATCAGTGTAAAAAGGTAGTTTTAAACATGCTATGGAAGTTGCTTAGTTTCCGGCTCCCTTTAAGTGTCTCCTTTCTATTCCACTTCACAACATTCTCATCCATAATGAATGCTCATTGCAATCTGGTATATTGTCACTGCATCTTGATAAATGTATAAAATTCATTTACTACAAATGAGACACAATCACAAGGCAATTTTGTAATGTGGTCAAATCGTGGTATGGTCTGATTTACTGAGAATAGGTGATAACAGATGCTATAGAAAAGTTCAGGTTGGTGCCAAAGATACGGGACATATTTATTGGAACAGGAAAGATTTTGCTTACTACATAATGGAGAAAAATATGGTTAGATAATAAGTAGCTATGTTGAAAACAGTTTGAGTTCAAAACTAGTCACTTTTTCTGTTTTCTGAAATTTGCTCTTTCCAAACCATTGTTCATGTTTTAACCTCTAAATATAGTCAAAACCTCTCTTCATACTGTGTTGTTAAATGTAATTGAGTTGGTTCCTACTCAGCAACCCTGTACAGGGCTTCTGTGGTTTGCTTGAATCACAGAACTTGCAGTTACCAGGCCAGTGCTTATCCTGCAACTACACACCAGAACTCCTCTATTCATACGTAGGAATAAACAAAAACCACCAGGTTAGTAGATATGTTTGCATGGCACAGTTTAAACTTCATAGAACAAAAACCTATTACTCTTTCTTCCCAATATTTCTATATTTCCATACCTCAGTTTTGTAACATCTCACTTCCTTAACTCTTTAATCCCTTTACTTCACTTAGAAAAATCTATCCAGATGAAGTAAACTAATAATAATACAATATTTTTATATTTTGGTTTAGAAACTGCCCCCATTCTTTATTTTTTAAAAAGTAACACTTTGTTGGCCAGTGTAGTCCTCTGCACTGAATATTCTTGACCAAAATAGACAGTAAAAGAAAATTCTGTTTAACATAATTCTAATTTTTCTGTTCCATTGTTTTTCATACAAAATGCTTTTTTTTTTAAATGTCTTTTTTAAATTATGGAAGATGTTACATGAATAGGGAGATTCACTTTAAAACTGTATTTAAATAAATATTTGACCAATCTGCATACATATTCAACAGGTGTTTTCTTATCTACATGTTTCCCTCATGCCTTCATATGCATATACAAGAAATCAGAAAGAATGCTACAAAACCATAAAAAAGCTTATTAGACAAAAACATCAAAATGTGCAAGTATTATTTCTCAGCATATCCTCCATCCTAAAGGTTGTGTTTCCATCTCTCTAGGCCTTCCCCAAAGAATTCTGTGCCTTCTGATTAACACAGTGTCAAACTAGTTTTTGTATCTTACAGGGACTCACATCAAGCTCCTTTTCAGTGCTCTTTGAGTTTGGGGAATGAAGTCTGAGAGGGCAAGGTCAGGGGGCTGTATGTTGGATGGGGTAAGGTTTCCCAATGAAATTCTCAGGACTGTCCTTGCTCAAAGAATGAGCAGATGTACTTTAGTGATGGGAAAAAAATTCCTTGGCACAACTTTCCTGGCCTTTTGCTTTTTTCATTTTTCTTAAAACTTGCTCATAAGCCCCTGTGATCATCCTGCTTGCCTCAAGAAAATCTATCAAGGTTACTTCTTTGGACTCCCAAAAACAGTTGCCATAACCTGAGCTGACCTCTGCCTGGAATTTCACTTGCCCAGCAGAATCCCCTGGGAAGCCACTGTTTTCATTGGACCCTTTTTTGAAGACCCTTTAAGAAAGCATGTATAACGAAGAGAGCTTGTCTGCAGCCATATACTGATAGCAAACAAAATGTGGTGAAACGTGTTGTTTGGAACGTCAGGTGTCATACAGTCACTTCCAACTCAGCTACTCTCTATTGGGTTTCCTAGAACAACTGAAGGCTTCAAACCATCAGATTTGAAGTTAGCAGTGCAGTGCTTATCCTATAGTACCACACCAGGACTCCTTGTTTGGAATAAGCTAGTGCATATATGAACTGAAAACCTACTAGCAATATTTTTTATTTACCCCCCATATATTGTACTGTGTCCTATAACTGCATTTTGAGTTTTAGAATTTTAACATGGTTTGGCACTGTAGGATTCATAACTGGACTGCAAGGTCGGTGGTTCAACTCATCAGCCCCCCTTCAGAAACCGTATACAGAGTCACTATGAGGTGGAACCAACTCTACAGCACTTAACAACAAACATGTAAATAATTTAGATTAAGTTGGTTTGTATACGAGACAGTCCGATGTCCTACAGAGTAAATGTGTGGTGCTGTGGGATAAAGCACTGGACCACAAGGTTGGCGGTTCAAACTCACTAGCTGCTCCTTGAAAACCCTATACAGGGTCGCTATGAGTCAGAACTGACTCGATGGCATTTAACAACAGAGTAAATGAAAAAGATCTCTCAGAAATAAATATGTTAACAGATGTTGTAGATATTTTCAAAGATGAAAAGAAGTGGACATGTCCGATCTGCCTTAACTTTTAAATGACTAGTGAGTTTTACGGGGACAACTGGTACATGCACATCACAGAATGGCAGCCAATCACTGCCATCAGTCACCCTGTAAACTGTGTACACAAAACCCCATGCTGAGCTCAGCGTACTTTAAATTTGACATAGCAATTAAACATTTAGGATTACATTAAATTATTAACACATTTTTCTCATTTTACCAGACCATAGGGTAAAAGTTAAAGCACCAGGCAGAACTGGAAAGTGATATGTAAAAGAATGAAACAAGACTTTTACCTCACGCCCTATACGAAAACAAACTCAGCATGGATCAAAAATCTAAATGTGAATCCCAAAACTGTGAAGCTCATAAATGAAAAACTTGGGACAAATGTGAGGGCGCTAATTCAGGACATATGCAGACTACCAAACATTCTGAAAAGTACACAAACAAAAGTAGAGAGGTGAGTGGGACATACTAAAAATTAAAAACTTAAGTGCATTGAAAGACTTCACCAAAAGAGTAAAAATGGAACCCACAGAATGGGAAAAAAATATCTTGCAATGACACATTAGTAAGGGACTCATTTCTAAACTGTATAGGAAACTACAACACCTCTACAAGAAAAAGACAACACAAAAAATGGGACAGGACATGAACAGACACTTCACCAAGGAGAAAATCTGGGCAGCCAACAAACATATGAAGAAATATTCACGATTAGTAGCCATCAGAGGGATGCAAATCAAAACAGCAATGAGATATCATCTCACACCAGCAATAACAGCAAAGATAAAAAAAAGTAGAGGACAATAAATGTTGGCGAGGATGCGGAGAGACTGGGACCCTCCTGCATTGTTGGTGGGATTGCAAAATGGTCCAACCACTCTGGAAAGCAATATGGCGCTTCCTCAGAAGGGTAGAAATAGAAATACCTTATGATCCAGCAATTTCTCTACTTGGTATTTACCCACAAAAAATATGAGCCAAAACACGAGTAGATATATGCACACCAATATTCATAGCAGCACTATTTACAATAGCAAACAGATGGAGACAGCCTAAATGCCCATCGATTTAAGAATGGATAAACTGTGGTACATACATAAAATGGAATACTACGCTACCTTGAAGAACAAGGAAGCTGCAAGCCACAGCATAACATGGATGAACCTTGAGGACATTATGCTGAGTGAAATTAGTCACAAAAGGAAAAATACTGCATAAGACCATTACTGTTAAATACTAAGAAAAAGAACCTACCCAAAAGAGGGGGAAAACACTATATATAATTGCTGATCGGTGGGATGTATGGGATAAGAGGAGGGGAGGGTGGGAGGGGAAGATAGAGCACAGGGTAGGGAATAGACACAGGAGAGCCTGGGTGCTGGGGGAAGGGGGGGGCGGGGAGAAGAACAAGGTGGATGGGAGAACAGTTAGGCAGGTTCGCACTGGCTAGGTGGGACAGAGATTAAGTGACGATGTATGTACAACCTTGGAATAACAGGGTTTCAAGATACAGGGACTAAGGCATGGTTTGAAAGGGTAAAAGAGGGGAATAATGTTAGGATGCTTGGCTGTCTTTTGAATCTTGGTCTCCCTTGCCTACCATTGTGAAATAGACACTTGGGGTGGAGGGAGGAATAGCCAGTAACATCAAAATAGAAACATGTAAGCCCGTCTTCAGCCTGTAATTGACTGGAATACCTTAAAGGGGGGGGGAGGGGGACCTATAAAGGCAAGAAGTGACTGGCTTACAAGCTTTCAAGAGGGAGCCTAGTTCCAGGTGGGGCAGGGGTAGTTACTAAATTATTTCCAATTTGTTGGGAGCCGGCTGGCGAAAGGAAATGGGAATAAGTCTCTTCTGGTACAATAGTGAATAACTGCCATCAGTACTGACTGTGAGGGTTGGAAATGTAGAGGCAGATTTTTTTTCTTTTTCTCTTTTCTTTTTTTTTGGCAAAAGGAGGAGAATCATTGATTTTGCAGCCCAGGAGCAGAGGTCCCTGGGATCATCAAGCGAGAAAAATGGAAAGTATGACCCTAACCAGATAGGCAGTGTAGCCAGGCATGGAGACAGAGACAATGACATGGACAGAAGGAGTGGCTGGGTACGTGGGATTCAAGGAGGGAGAGGAGCTGTTTGCTGACAACCAGGGAAGTGGGCTTGTGGGGTGTATCCTTTGGTTATTTGATGATGCATGGAGGGGATTGCAATCATTGCAATGAAATGAAATACAATGGGATGAATGTGAAGCTGAAATGGGACTGAGGTAAATAATGATGTATGAACAACCTTGGAACAACAGGGCTCTGGGATACAGAAATTGAGACATGGGTGGAATGGGAAAAGGGAAACAATGTTAAGATGCTTGGCTGTCTTTTGAACCTTGGTTTCCCTGTCATACCATTATAAAATAGTCACCTGAGAGGAAGAGAAAGGAATAGCCAGAAATATCACCATATAAAGTTTGTAAGTCCATCTTCTGCCTATAACTGATTGAAATACCTAAAACGGGGCTACAATGTGCCCAGTGAAGGAGGCTTCCTGTGGAGCCACTGCATTACATAAGACCATAGGTGGAATCCTGAACCTCATCCAGAATCTTCTGAGGTGAGGGAGATTTCTGCTTGAAGGGACGAGCAGACCAGCCTGGAACAGCCAGAAGAACAGAGGATACGTCTTGAGGGAAGGACTGACAGGAAAAATACAAAACAATATAGTCAGGTCAACTGATTACTACAAGAACGGGTGGGCAGCTCACCCTGGAGACGTCAGGACAGGTGGCTGGGTCCTCTCGGGGCGGACCTCCTTCTAAGTTTGGGATGCAATGGGAATACGTGCTCTGATCGATCACCACATTCGTCACTGATAAGGGGAAGTGGAGGAAAAACAGCAATGAAGCTGTGAGCTAGGCCCTACAAAGCTCAGTGGACACCTGTGAATCCAGATGGAGACCTGGTTGGCCAGCAGTGTGGCAAGACCTGGGGACTCTTGAAACCAGAGTCAGTAACATGGCCACAGATGACTAGAGTGGAGAGTGAAGCATCCAGCTGATAAGAAGAGAGGGCACATGCATAAGTACACCCATACTTGCAGATGGTACCCACTTGACCTGGTTTCAATGACTAGATGATCAGAGCTCAACTAGAAGAAGAAAGAAGAGAAAAAGAGTAATCTGATACAATTTGATGAACTTGACCTACACCTATGGATTGCAGTAGCTCAAAAGAGGGAACAAATCTTCACAGCGAGGATCATTCTCACCCCCTCCATACATGGAGTGGACAGGGATGGACAACTTGGATATTGGCTACCCAGAATGGGGGGTGCTACAGAGGCAAGAAGTGACTGGCTTACAAGCTTTCAAGAGGGAACCTTGATCCAGAGGGCGTGGAGCAAGGTAGAATCTCCACTGAGTAGTATCCAATCTGTCTAGGAGGGGCTGATGAAAAGAGATGTGGATAGGTCTCTTGCAATACAATAGTGAATAATTGTTATCAGGACTGATTTTAAGGTTTAGAAATGTAAAGGTAGACGTTTTGTGGCAAAAAGAGGGGAGTGAAACGTTGCAGAGGTCACTGGGAACATCAAGGAAGAAGAGTGGAGAGCAGAACCCTACCCAGAAAAGCAGTGATGCCAGAGATGGAGGCAGATACGATGATGTGGAGAGATGGAGTGGCTGGAGACTTTGAACCCAGAGAGGGAGAGGGGCTGTGTGCTGATGACGGGGGGTAGGGGTAGGGGGACAGGCTTGCAGGGTATACCCTTTGGTTGGTTGATGATGCATGGAGGGGATTGTAACCATGGCAATGAAACGATATACGCTAGGATGAATGTGAAGCTAATGTTCTCCCATGTAAAGTATCATATAATTCACAATAAAGCATTAAAAAGAAAAAAAAAATGAATATAGTAAGATAAAAAGAAAGAAAGAAAAATGTACTTAAAATTACCTCAGAAGAAGAAGCAAACCCTTGTCTCCAAGGTGAGAGGAAAAAAAAAAAAGTTAAAGCACCATGAAATTGTTACTTATGCCTTCAAATTCATCCTTAAATGTTGAATTAAAGATTTGGTAGAACAACAATAAGGATCATTATTGTCAATAAATTGCACGTATAAGATGATTATTGAAATGGCAAATGCTTTGTGTATATCTGTGGCAATATGTACATCATATATATTTACTACAATAAGAAGCAAAAGTGACACTCAGAAAAAAATCCATAAGTTATTATCTAAAATGGTAGACTAAATCCAAAAAAAATGTTTCTAAAGTGAAAGTTATACTAAAAAATTTTTATAATAAACTATTTTTGCAATTGTTAATTTGCCACAATTCATCAGAAAGAATAAAGATAATTTTGTAAAAGTTATGGCACAATTTGCACCTAGAACACCAGCAAGGTATATTCATTTTTCATTTTATTTCATTCTCTTGTGCCAAATATCAAAGCAAGGAACTGCGTGAAGTCTCACATACTTCTGTCCATCAACAGAACACTGAAAGCACCCATAAACTGTCTCCCTTTTATAGTTCCCCATTCCACAGAGTATGCAAGGCCCTTTTGGAATGTTGTGGTTGAGCAAGTTGACTCGAATATGAGTCCCTTCTTTGAGTGAAATATCAGTCATACTTAGAGATTTGTCATAGAAGTCAGAAACAAGATCATCTAAGTAAAGTTGTGACCGGGAAATGATATCCATCACTCTTCTATCTAAAAGGACAGAAACAGAGAAATGTGTTAACATAATAAACATTACCCAGACTTCACTTCTAAATATGTGAATCCAAACCTCTCACTGATGACATTATTGATTTTTACATTTAAATTCTTCCTAATGAAATGGGATTACTGAATAGATAACCTCATGTGTAAATCCAAGAAAAAAATATATTCAAGGTACTCTTCACTTGACATACTTCTTTCAAATAGGATATTTCTCAATCTGTAGAGCAGTGCAAATGTTGCCGTTTCTTCCCTTTCAAATCCTCCTTTTGACACTGAAGTGACACAAAGGTCTGAAAAAAAAAAAAAAAATAGAGAAGATATAATTTGAACAACTCATTTTATTGGGAGTTTAAATATGGGTGGTAAATCCTGATAACATGCCATTACACTTTTTTAAACTTAAATTCTACGTATTTTTTGAAATGTAATATTCACACTACATAAATATAGAGGATATAACAAAGGGATACAAATAGTGTAATTAATATTACTGAATTGTATAAGTAAAAATGGCTGAGATGGCAAATGTTATATATATTTTACTACAATAAAAATTTTAAAAGACAAATCTCTCTCTTCTCATGGCCCAGCCTCAGTCTTCTACCTAAAAGCAGTCACTATTGGCAGTTTCTTGTGTATACGTCTGGAAACCCTACATGCATTTTACAAACACAAAGGATTATGTATGTATGTAAGGTTGGCTGAAATGGTTTGCTCTCAGCTACTAACCTAAAGGTTGACGATTGGACCCCACCTCCGAGATTATGCAGAATAAAGCCCTGACCACCTGCTTCTACAAACTGACAGTCAAGAAAACGCTGTACTGTAGTTCTAATCTGAAAAAATGGAGACACCGTAGGTTGAAATTGAGGACAAGAAGTATTGTTTGGAATGTACTCATATGTTGTTGTTGTGTGCCGTGGAGTCGGTTCCGACTCATAGCGACCCTGTACAGGGTTTCCGAGGCTGTAAATCTTTATGGGAGCAGAATGCCTCATCTTTCTCCCACAGAGCAGCTGATAGTTTCAAACTGCTGACCTTGCAGTTCACAGTCCAATTCGTAACCACTACGTTACCATCTTATACAAACCATTTTATACCATTTTACATACTCATATGTATGTATGTATAAAATTCTTTAGACACAAGTAGTTACATATGATACACATTTAATGTATTTTTAATGACCTTATAGTATTCTGCTGTGTAGATGTGTCATTATTTAATTAGTCCTAGACAAAGGAGCTCTGGTAGCATAGTGGTTATGAATCAGGCTGCGAGCCACAAGGTCAGCAATTCAAAACTACCAGCTGTTCCGTGGGAAAAAGATGAGGCTTTCTGCTCCTGTAAAGATTTACAGCCTCGAAAATCCTGTACAGGGTGGCTATGAGTCAGAACCGACTCCATGGCATATAATCACCACCAGGCAATGACACTTTAGTTTTCTGATCTTTTGCTATGACAAACTTAATATCCTCCTATTCGTGTCATTTCACATATGTGTAAGTATATATAGAGGATAAATTCCTTGAAACATAAAGTCAAAGTATGCATATATTTTATATTTTCATATGTATGTATGTTTATATATGTATGTATGTGTATGTATACACACACGAGTGCTTCAAAAATTCATGAAAAAAATGAAATTAAGAGATAATAGAATTTAAAATCACAAAACAATGAACTCAGCACAGGAAAGTATGCAGAACAAAGAAACGAGAAGTACCACAAAAAACAAACAGCATAATGACAGCAATTAATTCATACCTGAAGATAATTATACTGAATTTCAGTGGACTAAATACAACCGTCAAGAGGCTGAGAGTGGCAGAATGGATAAGAAAACGGGATCCTTCAATATGCTGTCTACAAGAGACATACCTTACACACAGACAAAAATAGATTAAAAATTAAAGAATGGAAAAAATATACCAAGCTAAATGCAATAAAAAATGAGGAATGGCAATATTGATCTCTGATAAAATAAACTTTAAGGAAAAACCAGCAGAAGAGGCAAAGAAGGACATTATCATGATTAAAAGGGTCAATTGAAAAGGGAATTACCATAATAAAAATCTGTGCTCTCAACAAAAGAATCCCAAAATACATGAAGCAAATCCTCATAGAACTGAAGAAAGAAACAGGCAACTCTACAATAATAGTAGGAGATTTTAATACACCACTTTTGAAAAAGGACAGAACAACAAGAAACTCAAGACACAGAGAGATTAAACAACACAATTAGGCAACTTGACCTAAAACTTTCTCTGATATGTACAGAGCATTCAACCCAACAATAGCACAAGACATATTCTTTTCCAGAGCACATGGAACATATTACAGAATAGACCATGTATTACACCACAAAGCAAGTCTCAATAAATTTGAAAACATCAAAATACTACAAAGCATCTTCTCATATCATAATGCTGAAAAATTAGAAATCAACAATATGAAGAGCAAGAAAATAAAGTCCAATAATACGTGGAAACTGAACAACACCCTGTTTAAAAGCTACTAGTTAGCTTTCGTAAACAGAAACACATGAGAATGAAAACACAATATACCAAAACTTTTGGGACACAGCAAAAGCAGCGCTGAGAAGACAATTTATACCAATACATGCATATATCCAAAAAGAAGCAAGAACTAAAATCAACACATTAATACAATATAACAATTAGAAAAAAAAGAACAGCAAAGGAAACCTACAGTCATCAGAAGAAATAATAAAGATAAGAACAGAAATAAATTAGATAGAAAACAGAAAAACTGTAGAAAGATTCAACAAAACAAGAAGCTAGTTCTTTGAAAGGATTAATAAAATCGATAAACCATTGACAAATCTAACAAAAGAAAAGAGGGAGAAGACACAACACATATAAGAAATCACACGGCTGAGGTCACAACAGAATCAATGGAAATAAAAAGAATAATAACAGAATACTATGAAGAGTTGTACTCCAACCAATCATAAAATCTAGAAGAAATTGACACATTTTTAGAAAACACAACCTATCTAAACTTACACAGAGTGAAGTAGAAAACTTGAACAGCTTCTATAAAAAAGAAGAAATTGATCAGGTCATCAAAAAACTTCCAAACACACGAAGTTCAGATCCAGAGGGCTTTACTGGTGAATTTTACCAAACATTCAGAAAAGAACTGACACCAATTCTATTCAAACTATTCTAGAATATAGAAAAGGATGGAAAATATCCTAATATATTTTAAGAAGTAAGCATAAGCCTCATACCAAAACTAGGGAAGGACATCACTAAAAAAGAAAATTATAGACCAATATCCCTCATGAACATAGATGCACAAATTATCAACAAATTCCTAGCCAATAGAATTGAGCAATATATTAAAAAAATAAAAAATACAGTTGTTAC